TCTTTTTCTTTTTTTTTTTTTTTTGAGACGGAGTTTCGCTCTTGTTACCAAGGCTGGAGTGCAATGGCGCAATCTCGGCTCACCGCAACCTCCGCCTCCTCGGTTCAAGCAATTCTACTGCCTCAGCCTCCTGAGTAGCTGGGATTACAGGCATGTACCACCATGCCCAGCTAATTTTTTGCATTTTTAGTAGAGACGGGGTTTCACCATGTTCACCAGGATGGTTTCGATCTCTCAACCTCGTGATCCACCCACCTCGGCCTCCCAAAGTGCTGGGATTACAGGCTTGAGCCACCGTGCCTGGCCTGCTTTCTTTTAATGTAACTGATTCTGTCTTGAGACTCGCTTTAAAGAGAAGCTTATTTATTTTACCACTCTAAAACAGTGATTCTCAGGAAGTTCTTAAAGTGAAAGCTATTTCTAATAATTCTAAGATGTAATTTGTCTTTTTCACTCATTCTCTCATGAGCGTACAACAGAGTTTACCAGAGGCTACATTCTGTGCAATATTGCAATAGTCTGAATGCAAAGAGATGAGAATCCAGCTCATCTATCTGGCTTCTATTAAACCAGTTAAAACACTTGTAGAAATAAAAAAAAAGTGTCACTCTTTACGCTTGTTTTTTTGTTGTTGTTTAAAAAGTACATAGTTGGCTGGGCGCGGTGGCTCACGTCTGTAATCCCAGCAGTTTAGGCGGCTGAGACGGGTGGATCATGAGGTCAGGAGTTCGAGACCAGCCTGGCCAACATGGTTAAATCGTGTCTCTACTAAAAATACAAAAATTAGTTGGGCGTGGTGGTGCGCACCTATAGCCCCAGCTACTTGGGAGGCTGAGGCAGGAGAATTGCTTGAACCTAGGTGGAGGTTGCAGTGAGCCAAGATCATGCCACTGCACTCCAGCCTGGGTGACAGAGTGAGACTCCATCTCAAAAAAAGAAAGAAAAAAAGAATGAAAAAAAAGTATAGTCATCTTTTATTAAAATTGTTACTTATGCTAACGTGATATGCTTAGTGTAAAGAAATTATAAGAGCAAAAAGTTTGAGAACCTCTCCTCTAAAGTGATACTCTCCCATATTTAATAAAAGAAAATAATTCTATTCTGACTTTGCTTATATTTCTTACGTTGACACTGACTGTTCATTGTAGTGATGTTAGATGGTTTATATTCCTCTCGATTGCTTTTCTAGCTTATTTTCATCTAATTGCCATGGCTGGCTTTCTACATAAAGAGGAATGAAATTTCTTACCTGTGACAAATAGTTTCTTGCAAGTGGAAACGATCTGGAAGGTCTGAGGTCCCTTTTCTCGTCCTGAGGCTGTGTAGATTGCAGCAGGTGACAGCCACTTTAGCAGCCAGAGGTGGCAGCTGCAGCCAGAACTGGCAGCCAGGAGTGCACTGGGAAACAACTCCTGCTGCCAGTGCAGGCAGTCGCCAGGGAGAGAAGGGCCAAGAGCCTGGGAGAGAATGAGGAAGCAGGTGGAGGAGGGGAGGAGACTAATGGCTGGCACGCCTTGGGCCCGCCTTCTAACAGGCTCTTTTGAAGTGGAAGAGGTTACGAGTATTTCTTTTAATGTAGTATCACTATTTTAATGAAATCTTTTCTTCTGTAAAAGTTGGGGCTCAGTGCCTTCCAAAACCTGTACCTTTTTCTGAAGTACACACAAACACTTCATGAAAGCACCTCCTTAGTCCATCAGAAGCATCTTCTTTTCTCATCCATCTCTCTTCATTTTCAGACTTCCTGGTCACATTTCAGCACAAAGCTTTTTCTTACCTTACAATGCAGAATAATCAGTCCTATTGGGGTAATTCCTACGATGTTACAACACTTAAAATATTTCTAAAATATAACTTTTTAAGAAAGTAACATTTTGCAAAATATTTTCTTTTACTTTATAATGTCATTCAGGACTTCCCCTCCCTCCCAAGCTCAAAACAGTGTCAAAGGGTGGTTAATACAGGTCATTAATATTTACTTTTCAGTGAAACAGGAGTCCATTTTTATAAAGCTTCTTTATCTGCTATATCAGATGCAAGCCACATGCATACCATCATTAGAATTTTATTTAACAATTTTAAAATTTCCTGCAATGGAAAGTAAGCTTGGGGAGAGAGATACCAAAATTCAGATACAGGGCAAATGTTTACTTACAGTTCCCAGTGTTAAAACTTTCCATTCCTGGAATGATAGCAAAGACTGACTTAAAATATTTGAAATACAATTTAAGGATACGTATTTTTAGGGCTTATGCTCATTTGTTAAAAAATAGTCTTATAAAATGCAACTTTTAAAGAGAAAAGTGTAAATATCACAGTCTTGAAAATAATTAGTGGAAACAGAATTTCTTAGCTATTTTTTTTTTTTTGAACATGTGCTAAATGTATTACTTTGCTAGGAAGGGAATTAACAAAGTAACATTTGTTTTCGTTTTTTGCTAGTACAGAGAGGGTATACAAACAGTGCTTCCTAGAGTCATGGAACAAAATGCTTACATAAACACCACTTTTTGTTTGTTTGTTTTAAAAACAAGATAGGGTTTTCATTTCGGGAAGTCATAAAAACATCATGTCCTTCAGCAGTGATTACAAAGGAAGTCTGTGGCAGGGTGGTTGGAAGTGACTGGTATGGTGACTATCAGAAGAAAAAAAATAGTACATTTAAGAAGTATATGGGGCCGGGCGCGGTGGCTCACGCCTATAATCCCAGCACTTTGGGAGGCCGAGGCGGGTGGATCACGAGGTCAAGAGATCGAGACCATCCTGGTCAACATGGTGAAACCCCATCTCTACTAAAAATACAAAAAATTAGCTGGGCATGGTGGCACGTGCCTGTAATCCCAGCTACTCAGGAGGCTGAGGCAGGATAATTGCCTGAACCCAGGAGGCGGAGGTTGAGGTGAGCCGAGATCGCGCCATTGCACTCCAGCCTGGGCAACAAGAGCGAAACTCCGTCTCAAAAAAAAAAAAAAAAAAAAAAAAAAAAGTATATGATGAGAATACATACATGATTAAAGTTGAAATAGTAAGTTTTCATCTTCCAATTATAGAGTTCAATTGGGCCAATTAACATGAAAGCATGAAATGGGATCAAGCAGTGATCAGAAGTGAGCACTAAACAAGCTCTAATTTTAAATATTTCATTGCCAATGCATTTTCTACAGCTGTAAAGATGCAGAATGTAAAATTTACACATTTTGAAGTTTTGGGACAAACATTTTTTTCTTTGATACAGAGCAATCCAAATGTCTCAGTGTCCTTTGTACTTCATAGAATTGTTTTTAAAGATTAAATGAGATAATGATGACAGCCCTTTGAAGATTTTAAAGCTCTAGATAACAAGTTCTATATTCTCTCTTATTCTTACCCATTTCACTTATACAATGGATGTAAGATTTTAAATATAAAATGTCCATAGTGTTCTCTTAACCTGACAAAAGCATTTATGCATTAGGTGGAATCATTTTTCCTGGAAATATTTTACGAATCGGATGGATAACCATATATTTGGATATCATACAATGTGAAGGCTGTAAGCTGAATTATATGAGTATTTTCCAGACTTTTGGATTTAATGAACCATTAAAAATAATAAGAGCAATCATGATACTAAGGAGGAAGCGATAAACATAGTGGACAACTCTACATTTTACCAAGTAAGGACACTTAAAAATGTAAAGTTTCAAAACTTTTTATTTCATAAAACTTACCTTACCTGTGTCCCCAAAATTAGGAAGGACATGGTATCAGAATAAAGGACAGTCCTTTAAAGTGGATGTATTTGACTTGATGAAAACTTTATAGTGCTCGAGTGTGAAACGATAAAGATAAAAATCAAGGAAAACTAAAACTTCATTACTTTTCCCTTCATTTTACCACAGAAGGTAAAAATTCAACACAGATTGCTATTGTTCTTGGACAATGTTAGAGACTCCTTACTTCTCCATAGTTACCTAGTCTAGTATTTAGCACGTGGCTTATATTTCATGATGTGAGCAACTCAAATTAAACACATTGAGTGCTTATATTCTAGGAACTTATTTAAAACAATTGGCTTCTTCAAAAATAGCAAATACATATATACATACCCACTACTTGCAAGCCTTGATGATAACTAACTAATAAAGCAAAAGGAGAAAAAACATTAGTGATACGTGTAAGTGTTAAATACAGTTCTCTAAGATGTAAGATTTTGTACCTGGAGCTTATGGATGGGTGTTATTGACCTTTGCGTTATCAGTTAATTTGCTTTGTTTTTTTTTCTTCCACATCAACTAACTGGGCATAAACTTGGAATATCTGTCTTTGAAATTGCAGGTCAAAGTCCGCAATTAAATGTTACCACATTTGATGAGGCAAAGCTACAAGTATGTGAGTGACGTGTATCACAGAATACTTTTTGATAGCTGCTGCCAATTAAATTGACTAAACTTATTGACAGATCTGGAAAATAATTTTCTAGGAAGGTGTGGTTCTGAAAGTTTGGTTGCACCAAAGAGGAAGAGGGTCAGGAACTGAAGCTCTGCATCTAAAAGCCTGGCTTGTAGACCAGGGGAACATGTGATTAAAACCTTCCTGCAAACAGAACATTTGTAAACGCGGTTTTAAATCCTTCCTGCAAGCAAATCAAGTAAATTTTCTTCGAAAAGAGGCCGTGGATGTGCTATTTTGTGTTCCTTTCCTGAGATTCCAAGCTGCTGAGACACACCCTGGCCTTGCTTTGGCAAGTCTTCCTTGTTCTTTCTTTGCCAGTTTCAGGTTTTATCGTGACTCAAACACATATAGGGTGGCAGGGAGAGATTTTTTGTTTCACGACTATTCCAAGGGGAGGGGAATGAGGGGGAGAAACCCAGAAAAAAGCTGCCCTTCTGCAGGGCCAGGCTCTGGGGGGCTGGGGGCGGGGCGGGGCGGGGCGGGGGGCGGCTGTCACGTGACTCCCGCAGGGGCTGATGGGAGTGCGGCCGCTATCTCCACGTACTGAAGCCACCACCCTGTTCCTCACTCCTGCGTGTTTGCTGAGGAGGAAGGTCCCCACTACACGAAGTACATTGGCCTTGGGGTGGGGCTGAAGGGATGGGTGCCTGTGAGAATGTAACTGAGTGTGACATAAGGAAGGGCGGGAGGATGGAAGCTGCTTCTGAGGGGCTGTTGTGGGACACAAGCATTAGTAGGGAGGAAGTGGGGAGGGGCGGCAGGAAGTGAGGAAAAATGGAGGTGAGATGGCCTGAGGGGCCAGAGTGGCATTGAGAAGAGGGAGAAGACTAGACGGGAACGGCTGCATGAGGCCGAGGGGACGGTGCTTAGTAACAGCCAGGTCACTAAGCCTACGACCGCAGAGCGGGGGGTAGTGGCGGGTATTTGCCACACGATGAAGACCAGCCCGTCCACCGTGCCTGGATCGGCTGAGGCCTTGAGCTATGACAGGAAAACTAACTTATTTTTGCAGAAACAGACTTACTTGGTTGTAAGTTTTCATTTGACATAGGTGCGCAGTGTTACTTTGGGAGAGGAGAGAAAGGTGAAGGAGAAAGAGAAGATTAGAAGGGGAAGGGAGAGTGAAAAAAAAACACCTTTTGGCTTCTCTGAAGTATTTTCCAAGTACCAAGGCAAAGTTAACACTGCATGTATAGTGTTTTCTAGATACTATTAATACTATTACAGCACTTAAACTTACATATTGTAAAGATGCTGGGAGGAATGGAGATGTACAATACAGAATTTACTTAACAAACATCTTTCTAATTGGTTGTTGCTCATTCTGTCTTCTATGTATGCATGTTCTATAGGACGAATCAGAGTTAGCCAAGTCGGCATAGTTTCTCAAAAACAGCAAAAAAAACCCCTCAATTGATAACGAATATGGACAGGGCTCCCCTCATCTCAAAGACATAGAGACTATACCCTTCCAGGTTTCAACATTTAGACTCCTAGGGAAAATGCCTTCCGAATTTACGGGAAAGTAAAAGTAAAATTTGAAGCTACTTTAAAGTAAAGTTAGGACAGTGGGAATAATCTCAGACCCGAAAAGTGAGATCTCGATTCTAGTCTAGCTCAGCCTTAGGGTTTCACTGGGTCCACCATCACTGTACCTGTTTTCTCACTTGTAAAAAATGAGTTTGAATTAGATGAACTTTAAGACCTGTTTCAACATTAAGATTTTGTGAAGGTGGAAGAATCTTAACTGAGCCAGTCCTGAAATAAGGCAGAATTGCCAGAGAGGATCATTTGGCTAAGTACATAGAGAGGAGTAGTTGAAAATGACTGGACTAGTAGGCTGACACCAGCTAATACGGGACCTTATAGGCCATACCATGGAATTTCATGGTGTGGAACAATGACAGTTTTTGAGTTAAGGGAATGCAGGAATCAAAGTTTTGATACCCAAAGAGCAGTTGATAGAATGATTTAGAGGAGGGAGAAATTGAGTTTAGGAAAGTGACAGATAATGACAGTCTAAATTAACAGCAGCAGTAGGAGTGGGAAAAAGGGAAAGATTCCAGAGAGCTGTAGTATAGAGTTGTACCTAAATCTGGCATTGTTCTAAGCTTTATAGCTGGTGCCTTCGGGATATGATGGCAAATCATCTTGTAAAGCCTGATACTAGAAATTGCAAGAGGCCAAGAGAATTGGAGGTAAGCTCTATTCTTGTGGAGACTTGATCTTTTATTCTGTTTTACATACTTCTCAAATTTCTTTCCTTTAAGAAAGCTCTATAGATAGTAGAATTTAATATATTCTTATTCCCAGAGCTAGGATTGTCCTACAACGTCGCAGGAGCTATGTTGATTCCAGCTGCTTTTTTCACTAAGTACGGGCCTCCAAGAAACTATTGGGAGATTTGTTTTTGGTAGCTTGAGATCTAGAGACAGAAGTGAGTCTGTGCCTTTATGATACATAGGATTTTATGTAATTATTTTGCTGTGATAAGTAAGATACCTAGGTATATAGTTACTGATCTTTTTAAGGAAGAGCACAGTATCCTGTCCTTTGCTACTGCCCCTACCAATTGATCTGTTGCATTTGGGACATGATTTGCTCCCTTGAAGATTATATTATTTTGCAAAATTTTGCAAACATTCGGCTACTGTCTAAATTACAGTTTAGCTTCATTGCTGTGAAAACATCGATTGGTTCAAGATATCAGACTCTTTTTCAACAGGAGTTTAAAACCACATTTAAAGTCTAATTTAAGGCCGAGTGCATTGGCTCATGGCTGTAGCCTTAGTGCTTTGGGAGGCTGAGGCAGGAGTATGGTTTGAGGCTAAGAGTTTCACGTTGGCTTGGGCAACACTGCAATACCCTGTCTCTGAAAACCAAACCAAACCAAAACAAAACGAAACTAGCCAGGCATGGTGGAATGTGCCTGTAGTTCTAGTTACTCGTAAGGCTGAGACAGGAGGATCACTTCAACCTAGGAGGCTTCAGTGGGCTATGATTGTGTCACTACACTCCGGCCTGGGTGACAGAGTGAGACCTTGTCACAAAAGCAAACAAATGAAAAGCAAAGTCTAGTTGAAAACCTAAATAAAATTTAATATGTTGAGCCAGGTTTTTCTTGGGCCTGTAAATTTCCTTAATAATAAAAACTCAAATGACTAATTAAGTCATATACTTTCTAGCATGTTTGCCTTTTTCTGAAAAATGTTTTATTTGCTTTTTCTTATAAGCAAAATATTTGTGTCCTGGAGATCTTATTGACTATACCTGTTTTCTTTATTTTGTCCTGTTAGTCTCCAGTGCCGGATGGTCCACAGTTGCCTTCTCTTGGAAAATCAGATTCATCTTTCTCTGAAAGTTCCAGACTGTTTTATAAAGATGAAGCCTTCGAGAAAGATTTAAACGGTGATGTATAAAATGTTTATATTTCTGTACATCAGGTTTATAATGCAGAAGGTTTGTTATATTTTATAACTTACATGATTTTTTTTTGAACAGATGTGAGCAAGGAAATTAATCTAATGTTGTCCACCTATGCAAAGCTCTTAAGGCAAGTACCTACAGTGTATTCTCTAGGTCTTTACATTCATTTTCTTCTGGAAACTCTGTAATGGGAAGTTTAATTCTGTGGCTGCCAAACCTCTCTAGTAATTAAAACTTTGGAATTTTTTATTCTACCTCAGTCCCTTATAATAGGTTAGTTGGTTATTTTTGGGGAATAGCCTCAACTTTTCCACTAAAAATCCTTTTTTTCTACTCTTGCCAAGCTAATACTAGACTGTATACATCTTGGTCTGTAATTAGATGACATTACATTTTAAATTTTATGTAAATACCTCTTTGAGAAAAATGTTTGGTGAAGTTAATGATTATGGAGTGATATTAAAGATAAATAGTTACGGAGAGTCAGCTTTTCATATTCATGGATTCTGAGTCTGTAGATTCAACCAACCACACATTGAAAACATTTGGGAAAAAAATAATGGTTCTATCTGTACTGAACATGTACAGACATTCTTTTCTTGTCATTATTTTTCAAACAATACAGTATAACAACTGTTTAAATAACATTTACATGGTATTGGTATTGTAAGTAATAATTTAAAATATATGGGAGAATGTTCTTAGGTTATATGCAAATACTACACTGGTTTATTAAAGGGACTTAAACATCTATGAGACATGTCCCTTTAATATTTGTGGGAGATTTTGGAACCAATCCCCCATGGATACTGAGGGATGACTGCATTTATATTTTACCTATATCTATTTTAAGACCAAATTTGAATATTTTATTAACCTGATGTCATGTTTTATAAAGCATTTTTAAAAATACTGCTGGACAGTCATTATACTTGGATAGTGGTTTGTGTGGCTGTAAAAATAATGTATATAATTTAATATTAGTGTTGTAACATACAAGATACACTTTCTGCTGTGTCAGGAGACCTTTTTGAGTAGTCAAAAATACTTGTGGGACTAATTTTTTTCCTGAAGAGTATTAGTAAATTAATGAAGTTCTGTGGTACATAAAGCCATTTAAATGAAATAGTTAACAAATATAGTGTAATGAAGAACAACATAATGATGGTGTTTATAACTACCTAGTTTAATACAAAACTTTTTTTCCTGTTAGTGAGAGAGCAGCAGTAGATGCATCTTACATTGATGAGATAGATGAACTCTTCAAAGAAGCCAATACTATTGAAAACTTTCTAATACAGAAAAGAGAGTTCCTGCGACAGAGGTTTACAGTGATTGCAAACACATTACACAGATAAAATATACACTTGAAATAAGTTGAGAATTCAAACTTCTTATTGTTACAATGAAATAATGACATTTATGCTTTGAAAGCTCTCTAGTTGTTAAAGAAAATGTATACTTTGAACAGAGAAGGGGAAACTCCTTGAAATTCTTTTCTAGATTTAAAAAGGAACTTTTAAATTCCTTAATGTTAATATTAATCTTCATGTTAATGTCCTAAGCTGGACATTAACATGAACTATGTCATTTTTCTTTTGAGGGTCAAACATTTAGTGCATTTTATAGAAGTGTAATTATTTAATCTTATGTGGATTCTTTTATTTTTTCCTTAAACTTCCAAAAAAGGATTCAATTAATTTATAATGTTTAATATTATACTTTTTCTTTTAGAATATTTTATTTAATAATCAGCTCATTTTGAGTCAATTTTGATTTTTTTTATGGTCAGGATTATAAAAGAAGATTAAAACCTTAGAGGTGATTTTTTCCAGTTTCTTAGAATATAATGACATAACTGTGTGCTATTTCTATTTGATTATTTTCACTATTTGTTATTATGTATGGCTAATAAAAAGTCTTGGCTTAAAATGATTTTTTTGTAGTAAAAATAGTAAAATAAAAACCAGAATTACTCACCAGAACCTTGTATGAGTTGGCTTCTTTACACATCAACCACATCAACATGTGCAGTTAAATGAATTATATTTAGAAACATTAACAGCAGTGTGGTATGGGATAAAGATTAGTGATCCAGAAGTAAATAGATTGGCTTAAACAACAGGATGACTTTGGGAGGTCACTTCAATTTGGACTGGAGGAGCTATACTACTCATCCAGCTAAAAAAAAAAATTATCCCTTTGATGGAAAGTACTACTAGGATTTTACTGAACACTTTCTATATCATATATTACTATATGGGATAGCTATATTAACCAGATTTTTAAACACTATAGCACCCATTTTTCAATCGTATAGACAGTTCGGTTTATTGCATGTATATTTTTCCAATATAAGCGATCAGAAAATTGCAAATAGTACCACGAGGAATTGTTATTACGAAGGGAGACTGCCTTCTAAACTCTAAAATAAAATCTCATTTCATCAAATTACTATTTTTTTGTTTTGTTTTGTTTTTCTTTTTACCAATAACTCTGGAGAATATACCAAGTAAATCAAATTACTATTTTAAGGCACAAATATCACATGACATGAATACTCATATAAGAAAAGATAACAAAAGTGAAATAAAATAATAATTGCTAAAGAAAATTGGTTACATGGAAAGAATTACTGGGTTGATAGAGATGGTGGCACAGAATAGGTTGGAGGTCAAAAAAGTAATTATTAGAAATAAATTTTTTTTTTTTTTTTTTTTTTTTTGGCCAGGTGCAGTGGCTCCCATTTCTAATCCTAGCTACTTGGAAGACTGAAGTGGGAGGATGTCTTGAGGTCAGGAGTCTGAAGTTGCAGTGAGCTATGATTGCATCACTGCACTCTAGCCTCGGTGGCAGAGTGAGACTCTGTCTCTAAAAAAAAAGAAAGAATTCTTTCTGTTTCTCTTTTTTTTTCTTTCTCTCTTTCTTTCTTTCTCTTTCTTTCCTTCTCTTTCTTTCTTTTTATTTCTTCTCTCTCTCTCCCCCGTCCTCCCTTCCTTCCTTCCTTCCCCACACTTTCCCTCCCTTCCTCCCTCCCTTCCCCTCTCTCTTTCTCTTTCATCCTTTCCTTTCCTTTTCCTTTTTGACGGTGTCTTGCTCTGTTGCCCAGGCTGGAGTGCAGTGGCACAATCTCAGCTCACTACAACCTCTACTTCTCAGGTTCAAGCGATTGTTCTCCCTCAGCCTCCCCAGTAGCTGGGATTACAGGTACCTGCCACCATGCCTGGCTAATTTTTGTATTTTTAGTAGAGACGGTTTTTGCCATGTTGGCCAGGCTGGTCTTGAACTCCTGACCTCAGGTGATCCATCTGCCTCAGCCTCTCAAAGTGCTGAGATTACAGGTGTGAGCCACCACGCCTGGCCAAAAGAAAAACCAAATACAACCAGAAGATTTGTGAGTTAATATGACATGTCACCTGGATTTCAATCTACCATTATTAAGAAATGTTCTGGAGTAACTTTTTCTAAGCATTTATTACTAATATGAAAAATAAGGCAAACAGATTGTTTCAGACTAGATTTCATAATATACTTGTCCTGATGGTATCACCATTGTTCAACATCTAGATCTTCCTTTTGGGGGTTCAGAAAATTGATTTGATCATTTCATTTTATATGATTAAGCCTGGAGAACTGATTTTAAGTCACAATGTATTTACCGTTCAAAATTGTTTATACCTTCTAGTATAAAGTTCCCTGAAAGCCTAATAATTAAGGCTTATTATTTAAATCAAATTTGGATGGCTTTGATACCATCCACATAGACAAGAATAATTATCTTGGCCGGGCGTGGTGGCTTCATACCTGTAATCCCAGCAGTGTGGGGGGCTAAGGCAGGCAGATCACTTGAGGTCAGGAGTTTGAGAACAGCCTGGCCAACATGGCGAAATCCTGTCTCTACTAAAAATTTTAAAAAGTGGCCGAATATGGTGGCGTGCACCTGTAGTCCCAGCTACTCAGAAGTCTGAGACAGGAGAATCGCTTCAACCCGGGAAGCGGAGGTTGCAGTGAATTGAGATTATGCCACTGTACTCCAGCCTGGGTGACAGAGTGAGGCTCTGTCTGAAAATAATAATAATTACCTCACAACTGGAGAAATGCTATTGCAGGAACACCATTGCCCTTTCTTTAATTTACACTTCTAATGTTACTCTTTACTGTTTCAATAAAATCTCAGAAGTTTATAAGTTATTTTTCATTGATTACTAACCAAAATATATACTGAACCATTTTTGTAATGTGCTAGATGTATTAAGACACTGCCTTCTGACAATTTTAACCATTTCTTTCTTGAAATACACTTACAACTTTGCTAGGAAGACGTGATATGTTAATGTTAAAAGTAACTCTGTGGCAGTGCTGTGGGAGTTACTGGAAGACCTTTTGGTAAGGGAGTCAGACAGGTAGATTTTAATTGGATTTTTGAAAAGGAAAGAGGATATTCCAGGCAGGGGAAAAATTTCTTCAGTGGCACAGAAGAAAACGTATTATGGTATGTTAGTCACGTTGCTAGGATGATAATTCTTGAAGGGGAATAAGTGTATTTTCTAAACGCCTGGAGAGCAGGGACGATCTTGTTTCTTGGTATTCTTTCTTTGTAGCACAGTATTTGATACATTGGTGCTAAAAATGTTAGATTAATAAAGCCATATCCATTTTAAGGGCATACTTTCACTCATGCTGGATTGTCAGAAAATGTTCTGTAAAATTAATCAACAGAAAAGAAAAGGAAGGACGAAGTGATTTAAAGGCAGAGAAGAATGAAAGTTAAGTTGTTGCCAGATTGTAGAGTCGTCTAGTTGCAGTCTAAATTTGGACTTTACTCTGTGTTGGAATCTTCCAGAGGAGAGGAGTGGCATAATAAAATTGGTGTTGTGGATCAAGATAATCGGACTTAACTACAGCGTGAGAACAGATTTGAAAAAGAAAAGTTTAGGGAGGGGGAGATCACTATTGGTGGTCAAACAGCTGCTTATTATAGATAGGTTGTTGGGATGGTTGTCATGGAAATAAGCCCCGCCCCTTAGCCTCAGCCTCACCTCAACCCGTCAGTGAGGGAGACACAGTCCAGGCAGTTCGGTGCGTGTTCGTTGTTTAGTAGTACTCAAAACTGCCAGTGTGGGAGGATTTGAAAGTCACGGGATCTGCTCAGTACAAAAATGTTTTTCCGAGTCTTTCCCCATTTTATCAGGAGTCTTTTTACCACTGCAGTGGATTTCCTTCCTGTGATGGTGCACCGGCTCCCAGGTAGGGGGTTTGCCCCTTTCTCTTCCTTATCCTCCTCTTCTTGCCAGTCCGCACTTAGAATTCTGTGCTGCTTTCCTGAACACTGCTGGGAGCTTCTGAAGCTTTCCATCCTGTGTGGATCAGATTAGACAGCAACTCCACAGAGCCCCGGAAGTTAAAGAAGGCTGTTAGGATTGTTTCCTCATGATCAGGGAAACAGCCTTCACATTTGTATATGATTATTTTAATTTTTATTATTTATTTTCTATTTTTCAAGGATCCTCCAGTAACATTTGTATATGTTATACAATATTTAGGGCAGGATTCAGGGGCTTCAGATTCTTTTGGATTTGCAATAAGAATAGTCAATACTTAGGCTTTTCTAAATTCAAAAATCGCTGCCACATGTTCTAATGTAAATGTTTGATTTCTCTATTTGCATTTTGGGGGACTGCCTTAAAAATCATTTACTGTTTTATAGCTTTCTATTATAGCTACTAGTGTTACATGATTTTATTTCTTGAAATTGGGGATCTAGAGCTTTTAGAAATTATACTAATATGCACTATAAATTTTAAAATTACTTAATTTAGTAATTTAATGCTTGCAGTATGCAAGGGGATGTATTACTTACTGGAGGGAGAAGGGAGACAAAGACCAGACCTTGTATTTAAGGAGTACTGGTAGCATCATTTATCACTCAAGACAGATGAAATAAGGTCCATATGAGAACTATAAGCAGATGCTGTGAGTTCAGACCAAGGAGAATCAGTTCTTGCTGTGGGTAAGGGGAATGCTGTGTTTATAAAGCAAATGACATGGAAACTGGATCTTGAAGGATGAGTTAGGTGAGTGAATTTCATCTGAAGGAACTGGGAAATATCCTAGGTGAAGAAAATTGATTTGGAAGGGGGGAAATTAAAAATTCTATCTTGACATGTTGAAAGTCACCAGCAAGAAGTAACTGGTGAAATTAAGAGACTAGATGAGATTTCCAAGGGAGAGTGCTGAGAGTAAAGAGTAAAGATTGAAGGTAAGACTTTAGGAAAATTCATGAAGTGATAAGGGGGACAAGGAGCCCATAAAGGGACTTGAAATTTGGAAAGCATCTACTGTCTTTATATTTGATTATGACAACAGACATAAATAGGTAACTTTGACTTCCTTTTATTTCCATTTTATCACTGAAAAACCTGAGGCTCAGAGACATTAAGTAACTTGCTCAAGATTGTCAGCTAACATGTAAGAAAACTAGCATAATGCAGAGAGTAGTTATAGGGCAGCAGGAAAGTTAGAGTAGGACGATGTCTCTGAAGCTATGAATAGAAAGGAGTTTAAGAAAGTGTTAATGTCAAATTCTATGGAAACTTTGAAGAGCATGTAGTAGATTACCAACAGCATGATATGGAGTGTAGAAGATATAGACATGCAAATATTTTCTTCAATGTAAAATGCTTTAAATTCGTGTATCTCTACTTAGACAAATGCCCAATCAGGCTATTCAATTTACTTAAAAAGTGAGATGAGTAAATTACATACATGACCTCCGGGAATTTATTTTAATCTGAGAATAAGATAAATATGCATAATGTTAATAAAAGTAGAGTAAGATAAATACCTGAGAATTTCCTTCACTATCTTTTCAAAGCATCCTCTTTGTATTTTTTTTTGAGACAGAGTCCTTGCTCTGTTACCAGGCTGGAGTGCAGTGGCATGATCTTGGCTCACCACAACCTCCGCCTCCTGGGTTCAGGCGATTTTCCTGCCTCAGCCTCCCAAGTAGCTGGGACTACAGGCACGTGGTACCATGCCCAGCTAATTTTTGTATTTTTGGTAGAGATGGGGTTTCACCATGTTGGCCAGGATGGTCTTGATCTCCCGACTTCGTGATCCTCCCACCTCAGCCTTTCAAAGTGCTGGGACTACAGGCATGAGCCACTGTGCCCAGCCCTGCTTTGTGCTTCTAATACCGTAGCTCCCTGACTTTAGTATTCCTAAGAATACCTGCTTGCCTCTCCCTAGATATTCTGACTTATTAGGACCAGAATGGAGTCCAGGAAATGGCATTTTAGTGATAACACCAGGTATTTCTGTTGCAAGTAGTCCTCATACCAGACTCTGAGAAACAATGTTGAAATAAAACACTTACAGTGTCAGTGATATGTTTACTAGGCAGTCAGTTCTTTTTTTTTTTTTTTTTTTTTTGAGACAGTTTCACTATTGTTACCCAGGCTGGAGTGCAATGGTGCGATTTCGGCTCACTGCAACCTCCACCTCCTGGGTTCAGGCAATTCTCCTGCCTCAGCCTCCTGAGTAGCTGGGATTACAGGCATGCGCCACCATGCCCAGCTAATTTTTTGTATTTTTAGTAGAGTCGGGGTTTCACCATGTTGACCAGGATGGTCTCGATCTCTTGACCTCGTGATCCACCCACCTCGGCCTCTCAAAGTGTTGGGATTACAGGCTTGAGCCACCACACCCGGCTGGCAGTCAGTTCTTTAATTTCAGGGTTCTAATGCTTTTTATCCCTCAGCAGTACCAAGTACTTTGTCAAATGAATAAAATGAAGATATTATTGGACTGATCATTAAAAGCTATGTAAATATAATAATAGCATTTTTGAGTATTTTCTTCTAAAAGCTTTACATAAACTAATTCATTTATTACAGACTTAGAAGTAATATGAACTATCATTATCTTCACCTTAGAAAAGAGAACACAGACCACAGAGAAGTGATGAGTGTCCTCAAGGCTCCTTAATTGGGAGTGGGCACATTTGAAACTAACCACTCTGAAGCCAAGTAGAGGCCCAGCTCACACCCTTAAATATTAAACTATGCTGCCTCTTAAGGGAAGTATTGTAACACTGGAGATAGACCTTGACCAATTAATGGAACTGTCTTTTTTTTTTTTTTTTTTTTTGAGACAAAGTTTAGCTGTTGTTGCCCAGGCTGGAGTGCAGTGGTGCAGTCTTGGCTCATTACAACCTCCGCCTCCTGGGTTCAAGTGATTCTCCTGCCTCAGCCTCCTGAGTAGCTGGGATTACATGGGTGACAGGCATCTGTCACCATGCCCAGCTAATATTTATATTTTTAGTAGAGATGGGGTTTATTATGTTGGCCAGACTGGTCTTGAATTCCTGACCTCAGATGATCTGCCCGTCTTGGCCTCCCAAAGTGCTGGGATTACAGGCGTGAAGCACTGTGCCCCACTGGAATTTTCTTAGAACAAGAAATAAGGACATTGGAAAAAATATTCAGGGTGAAAGAGAATTTTATTTGAAAAATCAGGAAAGAATTAGGTTTGACTAATTGTTTTATGTCATATAGGAGAGCAGAATGTCTCATGTGCTCCAAGCTGAATTTTTGAAAGATTTGAAGGAAATGGGATAGTAGTAACTTGCTAAAAGAAAGCAAATCTCACTTCTTAATGGTGTCCCTATGTGTTTGCTCATTTTTCTAGTCTAGATTTTGGAATCACTGTTAAACTTTTATGAGATAAAATAAAGAATTCTATTTTATAGCACTTAATTATTTATTTGACCACCATCTATGTTAGGCAGTACTGCCTTGTGAACACTCAATATGATAAAATAATAGGGAAAAATTTCCGTTTCTTATTATACAAAGATGATTTTTACTTCTTGTTCCTTTTGAACTTTAGGTAATTTCAGACTGGATATCACTGCATAATTTAATATTTGACACCTTTCTGCTGGAAAATGCCTTATATACTCATATATATACCATTAAAATAAAAGAAATTAAGTTTAAGATATTATTAAATTTACAGGAATTGCTATGAAACCTTTGGAATCACATGGTGGTATGTCTAAATTATTGGTGTCAATGTAATTGTGATAATATTGAATGGTGGTCATTTTTATAAAAGGTTGCTCTTAGCATATCTGGGGTTGGCATGTAGATTTATTCTTGTAAAAAAACAGGCATTGTTCAACTATGAGAAATGATAAAAATAGTAACTGAAGTCCTAAGTTAATTCTTAAGTAGATTAGTACTGTAAAAAATAGAAGAATTGTTGTGGTTTGAAAATGTAGAACTAAAGTGTTGATAGCCTGAGAATGAGGAAGGAGAGAGAGGAAATTTCAAGACTGTATTTGGTGTTAGGTTCACATTTCCCTCAAGCTGCCAGTTCATAAGATTATTGTCTGTGGGAAACAGGCAAGTTTATAGAAGATCTGGTGAAATATTTTTTGTGCTTTTGGTTTCCTCTGCACAGTTTTCAAAAGGTACCTGGGAAATACTCAACAGAAAAAAGTCGTCTTTGGGCAGTGTCGGGGTCTGCCGTGTGTTGCACCGCTACTGACCACAGTGGAAGAGGCTCCACGGGGCATCTCTGCTCGAGTCTGGGGACATTTTCCTAAGTGGCTTAATGGCTGGCTGCTTCGAATTGGACCTGGGAAATTCGAGTTTGGGAAGGATAAGTAAGCCTTGATTTTGGAGAACAACTTGGATTTCTTGGCACGGGCTGGTTCTGTGGAATATGCATTAATGTCTGCTTCCTCTGTGAGGTTAATATTGCCATTCCATCCCTTTGATTACAGATAAGGAAAATGTAGCCTAGAGGAGAAAAAAGGAGACTTTTATAAAGAAAACGTCCTGCTTTTTCTGCTCTGTAGGCTATTGTAAATTTGAAGTCCTCTGCGGTTTGTGCCACGAGAAGGGAGGTGTCAGAAGCTGTCTGTGTGATGACCGAACTGTTTCCCCATAAGTTCCTGAAGGAAGGGCAATGTCTCCTCATACCACTTTCTCCCTGGCCCACCACTTCCCAGACACAATGGTGTCTTTCAGTTCCTCAAACTGGGCACAGTTGTGTCTGCTCAGCATCTTAGCATTAGTTCTCTCACCTATCTTCCCTAATCTTCACAAGACTGGTCTTGTCATTCAGGTGCCAATGCAAATCTCATGTCCTTTGAACCTTTCCTGATTTCCCAACATAAAAATGCCAGCACATTCATCCCTCAGTATTCACAGGGCATTGGTTAGAGGACCCCCTAAATCCAGTATCTTTGGTTTGTTATTTAAGTGTTAGATCTGAATCCTCAATGTAATTTCCACTAGAATGTAATTTCTAAGAGGGTAGAGACTTTTTCTAGTTCATCCTGTATCTCCACTACCTGTAACAGTGGCCCACACCTAGATAGCACTCAATAAATAGATGTCAATACATGAAAAACCAGTAACTCTTCAGTATAAATTTCTCTAAGTGTCTTACTAGGGACACGAAGTTATGTGAAGAAATCCCTATGGTCAGGAAGGAATCTGCTTTGTTTTAAACATTTTTAAATATTAGGATCAATTTTTCATTAGGAAAGTTGTTTTTTTTTTTTTTTTTTTTTTTGGAGACGAGTTTCGCTCTTGTTACCCAGGCTGGAGTGCAATGGCGCGATCTCGGCTCACTGCAACCTCTGCCTCCTGGGTTCAGGCAATTCTCCTGCCTCAGCCTCCTGAGTAGCTGGGATTACAGGCATGCGCCACCATGCCCAGCTGATTTTTTGTATTTTTAGTAGAGACGGAGTTTCACCATGTTGACCAGGATGGTCTCGATCTCTTGATCTTGTGATTCACCCGCCTCCCAAAGTGCTGGGATTACAGGCATGAGCCACTGTGCCCTGCAGGAAAGTTTTTACCCATATAAAACTTTTTAAAATATAGAAAAGGGAGGTTGTACCACTTGACACATCCTTTATTAGCACTTTGATGTATTTCCTGCCAGTCTTCCCCACTATTTCCATAGATTTGTTTTAAATAATTACAGTTACATGTAATATTTTTGCCCACTTTTTTTTTTTTTTTTTTTTTTTTTTTTGAGACGGAGTTTTGCTCTTGTTACCCAGGCTGGAGTGCAATGGTGCGATCTCGGCTCACTGCAACCTCCGCCTCCTGGGTTCAGGCAATTCTCCTGCCTCAGCCTCCTGAGCTGGGACTACAGGTGTGTGCCACCATGCCCAGCTAATTTTGGTATTTTTAGTAGAGACGGGGTTTCACCATGTTCACCAGGATGGCCTCGATCTCTTGACCTCGTGATCCACCCGCCTCGACCTCCCAAAGTGCTGGGATTATGGGCCTGAGCCACTGCGCCTGGCCCTTGCCTGCTTTTTAACAAAACTTCACACTATCATAAGCCTTTTTATCCATGTTGCTACTAAGTCTGAACGACCATTATTTTTAATGGCTAGATGAGTTCCAGGTATTATTATTATTATTTTTTTAATTGTGGTGAAGTATATATAACATGCAATTTACCATCTTAACCATTTTTATATGTAGAATTCAATGGCATTAAGTAGATTCATACTATTGTGCTACCATCCATCCACAGAACTCATTTTACCTTGCAAAACTGAAACCCTATATTCATTGAACACTAATTTCCCATTCTTCCCTTCCTCTAACCCCTGGCAATCACCATTCTGCTTTCTGTTTGTTAAACCACCTTACCCTCTCCTCTGGGCCTGGTTGGAATTTGATCATGGTCCTTCTGTGCCTCTCCAGCTATTGTTGGAAACAGAAAACAGACCAAGAACTAGGGATGTGTTTAAGATATATTTAAGATATATATATGCTTCTTAATATTCCAGATATTTAAATTTACTGAACCTGTTGCATCTTGTCTTAACTGAATAATAGACTTATAAAATGATAGTGCTAGAATAAAATAAAATGCAGGTTTTTTTTTTTTTTTTTTTTTTTTTTTTTGTGGGGTAGAGGGGAGTATGTTTTTCCCAGCTGCTGCAAGAAGCTCTTAAAAGTTACTTTAGATGAGGTCGGGTGGGGAGAATCTAAGTGGGAAGGCTGAGTTTGGAAGTGGAGAAAGAGAAGTTAAGTTAGCTGCTAGAGAAGTTTTGCTTTCCCCTGTTTTGCATCTCTGCCTTTCACACAGTTGTAATGTGAAAAGAATATAAGGCAAGGAGAAGTAGAAGAGAAGGAGGGCAAAGGGGAGCAGGAGGAGAAAACATCTTATCCAGCTCCCAGAGCATAAACAGCCTCTTGCAGAGGGTATATGGTATTTCACCTGCTGCAGGAGGAGACTCTGTAATATGTTGTTCAAACCAAGTAGCAGAACCACTCAGGGCCAGGCTTGCCCCACAGGCCTCTTTGAAGATAAGCATCTTTGTGGGAGAAGTGGATGGCATGGCTAGCCCTCACAAGTGTCTGCTTTGTCCTGGAATCAGCTTCCTCAGAGTCAGTGGTGGGCATTTATAGCAAAAACAAGGTCTTGCTTTCCCATTGGACAGATATCTTCAGGTCAAAGGGAGACAGACATTCAGTTTAGTGGTAGGTCCAGATAGGACTTACAGAGAGAGGCAGTGACCTAGGGAAGGGCAGTGTAACCCTTCAGCTATGGATAAGAATAAGCCTGCTCACCTGTGAAGCTCTGATCACTCTTAGTTTCGATTTAACAGATTCACATCAGCATACAGACAGTGATGACATGCTAAAGGCCTATCTTCAATTAAATTTTTTTCTTAAATGATTTAATTGAAGACATATTAGTTTTTAAAGGTATGTGAAGGCCAGGTGTGGTGGCTCACACCTATAATCCCAGTGTTTTGGGAGGCTAGGGCAGGAGGATGGCTTGAGACCAGGAGGTCGAGGCAAACATAGCAAGACTCCATCTCTACAAAAAATAAAAATTAAACAAAAGTAAAAAGAATAAAGTTACATGAATCTGGACAGAATACGAAATAGCGTCAGCACCTTAGTCTCTACCATTCTCTAGAGAGGACTTCAGGACCCATAGTCTAGCCTCCCAGTTCCTAGACTGTGCCCACTGTAATGACTTTCCCCCTCCGTGCCACTTTGACAAGGCCACAAACCGAGGCCACACTTGCAACTTACTCCAGAGAATTTCTCCACCCTTGAAATCTTGACCTCTGAAACTCCACTCTGCTCAAAACCCCAGTTTTCACAGTCCTCCATTCCCATTACCTTATTTTTTCATTCCATCAAGCTGTCCTTTCCTTCTGTCCTCTACCTTCTTAAGGCTTATCCACCTTCTCTTAATTTCTTCTTCCTGGCCCAAACTTTATTGTCAGTCAGTCACTTCAACACCACGCTCACTTCCTTTGCCCTGGTGGTCACTGCCTCTCCTCTGATTATTTTCAGTCCTAGATTAACCCATTCTTGGTTTCCCCTGCCCATGGCCCAGGCCTGCTGTGTATGTCTAGAGCAAATCAATTATGAAATGATGACGTCCAGTCTTAGCTGAGTGCTTGGTGCTGCCAGGAAGCTTTAGCGGTCAGTGTTCTTTCCAGCTTCTCACAGGGGCTGCTGCCAGTCTCTGACCCTTTTCCTGAAGCCTCCTTCATTATTCCTGTTCCCTTCACCCTCAGCAGATAAACTGGCCTACTTAATAGGAATGAATGACTTGAGGGGCAGCGGCATTTGAACTCCTTCAGCTTCCCTCTACCCACCTCCACAGGTCCCCACACTCCTGATCAGAGAACGCAGCCCTCTTCCTGTTTTCTGAAACCTTGATGCATCGTGATCTCGCCCCACTTCCTTTTCTGCCAAACTCTGAGAGCTCACCTTATCTTTTTGGATGCTGTAGAGACCAGGATTTAGCATCAGCACTAAGTTCAAACCCTTGTTCTGTCACTGAGCAGCCCGGTGACTGTAGGCATATTGCTCCAAACCTTGGTTTCCACCTCTGTAAAATACGAAAAATATTTCCTCACAGGGTCAGTGTGAAGGGAGAATATATATACATACATATGTATACGTATATATACTTACTACATGCCAGTTACATGTGTATTGTGTTAAGCACTTTGCTACATTCTTTATATATATAAATATGTATATAATGTATGCATAATATATATATAATATCTATACAGTATAAATATATGTGTATGTATATAAAGAATGTAGCAAACTGCTTAACACAATATACAATATATAAATAGAATATAATATATATACAATATTATATATATACATAAAGAATGTAGCAAAGGCTCTCCTCCCTCACCTTCTGGCTTTGCCATGCCCTGCTCTGAAGAGACACCCGCCGTTTCACCCAGCAAGTGGGCCTGGCCCGAGGAGGAGGGCGGCATGCAGCTCCGCTTTGCCAGGCTCTCCGAGCATGCCATGGCCCCCATGCGGGGCTCTGTGCGGGCCGCGGGCTACGACCTGTACAGTGCCTATGATTACACAATCCCACCTATGGAGAAAACTCTTGTGAAAACAGACATACAGATAGTGCTTCCTTCTGGGTGTTATGAAAGAGTAGCTCCACGGTCTGGCTTGGCTGCAAAACACTTTATTGATGTAGGAGCTGGTGTCATAGATGAAGATTATAGAGGAAATGTTGGTGTTGTGCTGTATAATTTTGGCAAAGAAAAGTTTGAAGTCAAAAAAAGGGATCGAATTGCACAGCTCATTTGTGAACGGATTTTTTACCCAGAAATAGAAGAAGTTCAAGCTTTGGATGACACCGAAAGGGGTTCAGGAGGTTTTGGTTCCACTGGGAAGAATTAAAATTTATGCCAAGAACAGAAAACCAGAAGACATACCTTTTTCTTAAAAACAAAGAGTTTTTGCTTAAAGTGTTTTGTACTTCTGTAAACTTACTAGCTTTACCTTCTAAACGTACTGCATTCTTTTTTTTTTATGATTAAAGAAACTTTGTTTTTGTAAAGAAACTTTGTTTTTCTGCAGTTGATGGTTGTATGTAAATTTGCTTTGTGGTTACCTGATGTAAACAGTGTCTTAAAATCAAATGTACATCGATTACAGAATTAAAAAACTATTATTTAACTCAAAAAAAAGTAGCAAAGTGCTTAACAGAATACACAATATATAATACAATATTATATATATACAATTATATATAATACCATATATATATGAAGAATGTAGCAAAGCAAAGTGCTTAACAATATATATATATGCATATACATATATGTATATATTGTGTATTACATTTATACATATTTGTATATACACGTATATGTATATATTGTGTATTGTGTATATACAAACACACACACACACACACACACACACACACACACATATATAGAATGTAGCATAGTGCTTAGCACAATACCTGGCATGTAGTAAGTGATCGGTAGATGGTAGTTATCTCATTGGCAACTTATACCTAGATACTCTCAAACATGGATCTCCCACGCCGCCCCCAGCTCTGCTCTAGACCTGTGTTTTGCCAAATGGCTGTGGAACATCTATACGCTGGTGTTCTACAAATAACTCAGACTCTCCAAACCAAGCTATTGACTTTTCCCCAGTCCTTGTTCTTCACGACTTCTCCATCCCAGTTAAAGCATCACCAGCCAGCCGGTCATTCAGGCCTGACTTTCAGGCTCCTCTCCTTTTGTCGCTGCCTACATCCTATCAGTCATCTCTGACTTGTTTCTGGAGTTTGTCCTTTGCTCACTGGTGCTGCTTCAGTTTAGGTGCTTATCTTCTTTGCTTGAATTATTGCCTGGGCTCCTCGTTGCCTTCTTCAGTCTGCATGCTGTTCTTTTTATTCCGGGATGCCGATCATACAGTTTCACTCTCCTGTTTCACAACTTCACACTTTCCTGTTGAAGGTCATTAAGCCTTAGTCTAAGTGCTGGTGGTCCGGGGCTGATCTGTGTCTCAGCATCACCACCTGCCACTGACAGCTCCTCCCACACGCTATCTCCTCAACTGGCTCTTCCTCTGAGACTACTGTATGTCTTCCAACCCATCCTCCTTCCATCACCCCTGCCCATGTCCCCTCTGCAAGTGGCAGACACCCTTAAAGAAACAGCGAAATGTCTCCTTCCCTCTTGACCTTTTCCTGATTCCCCCGGCCTTCCATCCTGTTGCTCTTTCTCTGCATAAATAGTTTTTTAAAAATAACATTTCTCCCTTGTAGCAGCAATTACTTCATATCCACTATTTATGTGCCTGTAAGTGCTGACTTTGGCACAATGCCTGGCAGATAGGAGGGACTCAAAAATATGTTGACTTGAATAAATGAATGCAGAAATGACAGGATCTCTTGAGACAGAATCTAACAAGTTGAAGTACATTAAGTAGCAAAAATTATTGAAATTATTGTATTTTTTTTGAAAAATAGTACCAAGGTAGAAAAACCATTAGTTTACATGCTCAAGAAGAAAAAAGGAAAAGGCACAAATACACAAAGTATAAAATGACAATGGAGAAGAAATTATTGAAGCAGAAAAAAATTAATTATAAGAGACTTTGAAGGCCTTTATATAAATACATTTGAAAACCTTGATAAAATGGATAATTCTTTAGGGAAAATAGATTACCAAAATTGATAGAGGCCAGCCGTGGTGGCTCATGCCTGTAATCCCAGGACTTTGGGTCAAGGTAGGATAATCTCAGCACTTTGGGAGGGTGTGGGAGGATTGCTTGAGGAAAGGAGTTCGAGACCAGCCTGGGCAGCATAGCCAGGCCTTATACAAAAATAAAAAGAAAATGAATTAAACCAAATTGATAGAGAAGTTTTAAGTAGACCAGTTTCTGTAAAAGAAATAGAACCCTAGTTAAGTAAATATTTCTCAAAAAAATTAGCAGGCCCAGATTATTTCACAGAATTCTGCCGGATCTTCAAATGTGAGATAGTCCCAATACTTTATAAATTATTTCAGAGACAGCCGGGCGCGGTGGCTCACATCTGTAATCCCAGCACTTTGGGAGGCTGAGGTGGGCGGATCACCCCAATGAAAGTGGAAAATATATTCAAAAAAAATTATTTCAAAGCATCAAAAATGAAGGGAAACTTCCCAATTGTTTTTATGAAGGAAGCATCACATTGATATCTAAATATGACAAAGATCATGCAAAAAAGAAAATTGCAGACTAATATTAGTTATGACTATCCATGAAAAAGTACAAAATAGGCCAAATACCATGGCTCACACCTGTAATCCTAGCACTTTGGGATGCTGATGCCGGAGGATTTCTTGAGGCCAGGAGCTCAAGACCAGCCTGGGCAACATAGTGAGACTCCATCTTTGCAAAAAAATTAAAAAAGTGGCCAAGTGTGGTGGAATGTCCCTGTAGTTTCAGCTACTTGGGAGGCTGAGATGGGAGGATCACTTTAGCCCAGAAGTTTGAGGATGTGGTGAGCTATGACAGTGCCACTACACTCCAGCCTGGGCCACCAAGCAAGACCCTGTCTCTTAAAAAAAAAAAAGTACTAAATATAATACTAATATAGGACTAATAAATATTTTGGTAAGAAACTGAATTCAATAACACATTAAAATAAAATTAACTATGATCAGGTGGGATTAATTTCAAGAATACTAGGAGGGCTTATTATTAGTAAATACATTAATATAATACCCCATATTAATAAGTTCCAGGAAAAATAATCACAGAATTATCTCCATAAAGATTGAAAAAGCTTTTGTGAAAATTTAACACCCATTCTTCCTAAAAATTGCTTAAGAAAATAGGGCTTTTTAGGCAGTTTCTAAATATGATTTTATATGTATATATTTTTAAATATATATATCTTGGTATATGTATATCATAAATATGTTATAAATCTCTATTGTATCTTGGTGCTACAAGCAGTAATACTAAATTGGAAAATATACCCGTATTTTCTTCAAGTCCAGAAACAGGAAAGGATGATCAGTATCTTCACTATTGTTAAACATTGTACGAGATGTAACAATGAAATTAAATGAAAGACATGGACCAGAGGCACAAGCACTAGTAAAGTAAAATTATCTCTTTTTGCAGATGATATAATAGTAATCCTGGAAAGCCATAGAGAATCACTGATAAAACTAAATGTAACAATAAAAGATAAGGTCACAGTATATAAAATTAACATACTGAAATCATATCCTTCATATATGCTAGCAATAATCAGAGAACATAATGGCAGAGAAACTTCATTCACAATTGCAACAAAGAAGATTACTTAGCAATGAATTTAGAAATATGCAAACTTTAAAACACTCTTGGAAGACAAATTTGAACAAATGGAAAGACCATCCCTGCTACTGAATAGAGTAATTGGACATCATAGAGATGTCCCAGTTGTCCCTGAGTCCATTCATAAATCCAATAAAATCTTAATAAAAATTCCAACAAGCTTTTTAGGAAAGTTGGACCAATTGATACCTAAAGTTCATATAGCACAATAAATATGTAAGAATTGACGAGAAAGCACTAAACACTTTTTCAGAGGGTGAAACTAGCCCTACCAGATATTAAAATACACCATAAAGCCTTTACAATTAAAACGTGATATTGATGCAAGAATAGATCAATAGATGAATGACATAGAAAGACCAGAAGTAAACCCAGGAACTTAAGGAAATTTAGTTATCTGATAACACTGGCATCCCAAGTCATTGGGCTAAAGAAGGACTTTTTCTTTTTTCTCTTCTGCAATTAAAAAAATTCTGGTAAAATACATATAACATAAAATTTACTATCATAACCATTTTTAAGTATACAGTTAAGTACTGTTAAGTATATTCATCTTGTTGTGAAACAGATCTTTATAACTTTTTCATTTTGTGAAATTGAAACTCTATGCTCATTAAACAGCAACTCTTCATTTCTCCTTACTCCTGTTAACCACTGTTCTACTTTCTGTTCTTAAGAATTTGATTACTTTAAATACCTTACATAAGTAGAATCATACAGTATTTGTCTTTTTATGACTGGCATATTTCATATAGCATAATGTCCTCAATGGTTCGTTAATGTTGTAACATGTGACAGGATTTCCTTCGTTTTAAAGGATAAGTAATATTCCAGTATAGGTTTTTGGGGAGGCAAAATTTTCCCTCCTACCATGTAGGGTCTCCAGCTGAGCCCAAGAATTAAACTGACATAGGACAGATTAATAAGAAAAAATCATACAAAATTTATTAAGTTTTACATTGTACCTTGAACAACCCCCCAACCCCCCAAGAGAAATGAAGAGCCAAAGGATAAGTTAGGGCTGAAAGCTTATAAACTAGGTTGGACAAAGAGTAGTAAAAGGTGAAAATGTGACAACACAAAGGAATATGTGCCAGGGCAGTTAACTGTGGGAAAGGGACCGTGAAGATAAAGGTTAGTTTAACAAGGTTCATTTGCACAGCTTTTTCTCATTTTCTCAGCCTCAACTCCCCACCTGTGGTGATATAAATATCTCTGGTACAGGGAGGGCACCTTTCACTTGGGAGTTTTATCTCCTGCTTTCAGGAAGGAATAAAGAAGGTCAGGGTGCTCTTCATGCACCTGCTGTTTTTCAAGTGCCTTTTAACTCAAAATAATCAGTATGTTAAAGTGGCATATTTTGGCGTAGCATGCTCTGAACCCTTACAATGTAAACATTTTGTTTATGCATTCAACCACTGATGGACACTTGACTTGCTTCCACCCTTTGGCTATTGTGAATAATGTTGCTGTGAACATGGGTATACAAATATCTCTTCCAGTCTCTGTTTTCAGGAATCATTGTCTTTTAAGACAATGATGTTAGCTTTGTTTATCCATACTAAGAACATTAAGAATTCAATGTGTTAAGCATATGAAAGAAGAGACCATATAATAAACCATTTAAAAAGTGAAGCCACAAACTTTTTTTTTACAGTTTTCAATGTTCAACTATATAAGTAGATCATTTCTAGTGTAATCATATGGACAAGAACGACTATCTAGGAAGGACAGTCATCTTATTTGTCTACTTTTGCACAATCTTGATAAAGCTAAAAAATTTTAAAGTAAGGCCGGGCGCGGTGGCTCAAGCCTGTAATCCCAGCACTTTGGGAGGCCGAGGCGGGTGGATCACGAGGTCGAGAGATCGAGACCATTCTGGTCAACATGGTGAAACCCCGTCTCTACTAAAAATACAAAAAATTAGCTGGGCATGGTGGCACGTGCCTGTAATCCCAGCTACTCAGGAGGCTGAGGCAGGAGAATTGCCTGAACCCAGGAGGCGGAGGTTGCGGTGAGCCGAGATCGCTCCATTGCACTCCAGCCTGGGAAACAAGAGCGAAACTCCGTCTCAAAAAAAAAAAAAAAAAAAAAATTTAAAGTAAATGGAAACGTTAACACTTGCAAGATATGAAGGTAAATAACTATTTCTTTTCTTTTTTTTTTTTTTTAGACAGAGTTTTGCTCTTGTTACCCAGGCTGGAGTGCAATGGAGTGATCTCGGCTCACCTCAACCTCCGCCTCCTGGGTTCAGGCAATTCTCCTGCCTCAGCCTCCTGAGTAGTTGGGACTACAGGCACGCGCCACCATGCCCAGCTAATTTTTTGTATTTTTAGTAGAGACAGGGTTTCACCATGTTGACCAGGATGGTCTCAATCTCCTGATCTCGTGATCCACCCGCCTCGACCTCCCAAAGTGCTGGGATTACAGGCGTGAGCCACTGTGCCCGGCAATAACTATTTCTAAAAGCTTAGGAACTCATTCATTTTCTTTTTCTTTTCTTTTCTTACTTTCTTTCTTTCTTTTTTTTTTTTTTTAAATGAGATGGGGTTTTGCCATGTTGCCCAGGCTGGTCTCAAGCAATCCACCCATCTCAGCCCCCTAAATTGCTGGAATTACAGGTGTGAGCCACTGTGCCTGGCCTGGAACTTATTCTGATTTGGTAAATGTCAGGCATCCCATAACCTCTCATGCTATTCTCTTAGTCATGGAGTAAAGATCAGAATTTTCTTAGGATTCACCATCATAGGAGTTTTCTAAAATGTGAGGGTCTTCTCGACAAGGGTAAGAGTCAGGAGAATGTAAATTATTCTTTCCTTTTATACCTAAGACATACCCAAAATGTTATCCTTTCATAATTTCAAATTCTCTGACTACTCAGATTGTACTGGGAACCTGCCCCATTTCCTTATCTTTATATTTGAAATGAAGATCTATCATTCTGTCTCTCATTTTTACCCCATGTTTTCTTACTAATATTTATTGATTTATTTTCTCCTGTTTGAAGATACAATCACTGGTTTGATGGGATGGCATTGCTTCACCAGTTCAAGATGGCAGAGGGCACAGTGACATACAGGAGCAAGTTTCTACAGAGCGATACATATAAGGCTAATAGTGCTCAAAATCGAATTGTAATCTCAGAATTTGGCACACTGGCTCTTCCAGATCCCTGCAAGAATGTTTTTGAACGTTTCCTATCCAGGTTTGAGCCGCCAGGTAAGCTGCAGGTGAGAGTCATGATTATTTAAACTATTGTGATATATGACCATCTATACAAACATAAATCTTGAAAGTAGATTTTTTTGTGTATGTAAGAGGATGTTGAAACTGCTTTCTCCCTTTGAGTGTGTGCTTAGCATCTGCTATAGTAAGCTGCGTTACTTAAATAACTCTGGGGTTTGGTTTCAGCCATGACTGACAACACTAATGTCAACTATGTGCAGTACAAGGGTGATTACTACCTCTCCACTGAGACCAACTTCATGAATAAAGTGGACATTGAAACTCTGGAAAAAACAGAGAAGGTAAAGTACAGGTTAACAAAATGAATAAAATAGATCCTAACATTTTTTTTCCCATTTGAAATACTTTTTAGAGTATCTAGTTCATATCAAGAAGAAATTGGAGCCTTAACCACATAAAAACAAAAACAAAGTTATTCATTGATGCAGGTCACCTTTACACTCTGGCCTGATTAGAATGGCCTGTGGGTTGGTTTTCCTTAGAGGTAATTCTAAACTTCTTCCTTAGGCCTAATATCTGAAGGCTAGGGTAAAGGAGAAATAGAATTATACTGATCTACTTTAGCTAGTTGCTGTTCTTAGTGTTGGACTGGAGGTTGTCTCTACCTGTATTGCCTTCACATAACATATTAATTGAAAAGAAAATTTTAGACTAGATTTTTAATTTTAATTCTTATGCTTCTTTTGAATTTTCCTGTGATATTAGACAAATTTATTCGGGGTGGTTTTGTTATTAGTAGTGGTGGTGAGTTTTTGTTGTTTTTAGTCTTGATTTTTTTAGTGGGAAAAATAATTTTTCTCAGAGGCAAGAAATAAGGGCTTAGATTGCAGTTTTCATATCATATTTTAAAAAACGTTTGATATTTCTACTATATATGCATATAAATAGAGATCTGCCCATTAAAAATCTCCAATGGTCTCAAATTTGCAGGTAGATTGGAGCAAATTTATTGCTGTGAATGGAGCAACTGCACATCCTCATTATGACCCGGATGGAACAGCATACAATATGGGGAACTCCTTTGGGCCACATGGTATGTTGCAGTAGAGGTCTTTTTAGAAATAATTGAGCCCAGGGGCTGTGGCATACACTTGTAATCTCAGCACTTTGGGAGCACAAGGCAGGAGGATTGTTTGAGCCCAGGAGTTCGACACCAGCCTGGGCAACAAAGTGAGACCCTACTTTGTGCAAAAACAAAAAAAATTAGGTGTGATAGGGCACACCTATGGTCCCAGCTACTTGGGAGGCTGAGGTGGGAGGACTCCATGAGCCCAGGAGTTTGAGGTTGTAGTGACCATGACTGCACCACTGCATTTCAGCCTAGGCAGCATAGCCAGACCCTGTCTCAAAAAAAAAAAAAAAAAAAAAAAGTGAGAGAAAAGAAATAATTGGGTGTTAACCGTCTTCTCGGGGTTCAATTATAGTTAAGATGTAAACATATGAAACATCATTTGAGAAGTTTGGAAGGAACTCTCTAAAATAGCATTATTCAACTTAAAATATACGATTTATAATTAAGTATCCGTTCAATGGTCTATTTGCACCTATGCTTAGCAGCTGATTTTCTATCTGATCTTTTTAGTTTAACTCACATTTTTATATTTCGTTGTGCTTGTGGCTCACAAGCACTGTAGGAATTTCCAGTACATATTTCTCAAACTGGAATTTTTTTTTTTTTTTTTTTTTTTTTTTTTTTTTTTAAGATGGAGTCTCACTCTGTCGCCCGGGCTGGAGTGCAGTGGCATGGTCTCAGCTCACTGCAAACTCTGCTTCCTGGGTTCAAGCGATTCTCCTGCCTCAGCCTCCTCAGTAGCTGGGACTGCAGGCATGTGGCACCATGCCCAGCTAATTTTTGTATTTTTAGTAGAGATGGGGGTTTCACCATATTGATCAGGCTGGCCTTGATCACCTCATGATCTGCCTGCCTCTACCTCCCAAAGTGCTGGGATTACAGGTGTGAGCCACTGCTGGAGTTTTAAAGAAATACCATATTATAAGTATAAGAAATTTAGAATATCGCAGTCATTCTCAAACTGGAATTTTAAAGATATATGGTATTATAAGTATAAGAAATTTAGAATGTTGCAGTCAAGAGATACAGGGAAGGTACACTGTCTATCATATAGGGAATAAATTTGTTTGTACCATGAAAGTAATATACTACCAAGTAAGTTCAGGTCATAGTGGGGTTGCATGCACAACTACTTAAGTCACATCTCTTTCCTGATCTCCAATCTGCTCCTGAAAGTTCTGATAGCTAATAATGATAGCTAACTTTTATTGAGTATCTACTATGTGCTGGTGGTAAGCATTTTTCTCCATATTTTCTCATTCAATCCTTATGCCAAATCTCTGAGAAAGATGCTGATATTACTTTGGTTATACAGACAAAGGCAGTGAACCTTGAGGAGGTCTAAATGACTTGCTCTAGTAAGCTTAGAGTCACACACAAAGGCTTGCTTGGTAGTTACTGTTAGACCATCTCATTAGTTACTCATCACGGAGTGCAGAAGACTCTATTGGTATTTTTAAAATATTCAGTCTTCACCTGTTCACCATGTCTTTCTCTTCTTGTTAAGGCCTTTTCTCCTATCTATTCACTCTTCTAAGGGCATGCAAATTCAGGTTCTATACTTAAATACAAATGTCTCTCCCTGTTTGAAGAGGATGTGTAAGTAAGTATAGTAGACCCCCTTTATCTGTGGTTTCATTTTCACAGTTTCAGTTATCCAGTCTGAATATATTACAATATTTTGTGAGATAAAGACTATATTCACGTAATTTTTATTACTGTATATTATGATTATTTTATTTTATTATTGTTAATCTCTTACTGTGCCTAATTTAGAAATTAAACTTTATCATAAGCATATATGTAAAGGAAAAAAACAGAAATTAAACTTTATCATAAGTATGTATGTAAAGAAAAAACCAGAAATTAAACTTTATCATAAGTATATATGTAAAGAAAAAACAGAAATTAAACTTTATCATAAGTATATATGTAGAGGAAAAAAGCAGTGTGTCCCCCCTGGATACAGGGGGGACTACTGCGTTAGATATTTTTGACTATCTCTCTCTTAGCTATCAATCTACCATCTACAACCTATGAAATCTTTGTATGGGTTGATGGTATAACTTTGGTATGTAATTGGCTTTGTGGCTTGCTCCTCTGTCTTTCTCTGTATTTACATCTCTGAGTGTATATAAAGATGAATACTACAGGTTTGTTTTTTATTGGCTCGAGTAGAGAGAGGGTGCCCTGGATACCTCTACATGCAGCTCTCTCTCTTTATTACTTGATCTCAGGTAAGGATGGATTCCTCAACACTGTTACAGGAAACAGCAAACATTCTTCTAAGTAAAATGTTTCAGCAAAATGGGTCCAGGAACCCAGCAGTTTTTGTTCCACCTATTTCGATATTAAAAAAATCCGGCCGGCTTCACTATGGCGGCAGTTCCCCCAGACTCCTGGCAGCCACCCAACGTTTACTTGGAGACCAGCATGGGAATCATTGTGCTGGAGCTGTACTGGAAGCATGCTCCAAAGACCTGTAAGAACTTTGCTGAGTTGGCTCGTCGAGGTTACTACAATGGCACAAAATTCCACAGAATTATCAAGGACTTCATGATTCAAGGGGGTGACCCAACAGGGACAGGTCGAGGTGGTGCATCTATCTATGGCAAACAGTTTTAAGACGAACTTCATTCAGACTTGAAATTCACGGGGGCTGGAATTCTCGCAATGGCCAATGCGGGGCCAGACACCAATGGCAGCCAGTTCTTTGTGACCCTTGCCCCCACCCAGTGGCTCGACGGCAAACACACCATTTTTGGCCGAGTGTACCAGGGCATAGGAATGGTCAATCGCGTGGGAATGGTGGAAACAAACTCCCAGGACCGCCCTGTGGACGACGTGAAGATCATTAAGGCATACCGTTCTGGGTAGACCTGCTACCCTCTTGAGCAGATCTTCTGAGATGGTCCCAGTGGACAAGCTTCCTGATGACATAGAATGACATGTAATGTTAAATTTCATTTCGGCTTTGCAAATCATGAAGCTGAGGAAGCCTGGGGTCTTGGGTGAGTTAGAGATGGAAGTACATTTTAATAGGATGCTTCTTTTCTCTTCCCCCAGTGCCTGGGTTGACAGAGCATTTGCACAATGCCCCTGTGTTTCTTTTTCTTTTTTTTTTTTTTTGAGACGGAGTTTCGCTCTTGTTACCCAGGCTGGAGTGCAATGGCGCGATCTCGGCTCACCGCAACCTCCGCCTCCTGGGTTCAGGCAATTCTCCTGCCTCAGCCTCCTGAGTAGCTGGGATTACAGGCACGCGCCACCATGCCCAGCTAATTTTTTTGTATTTTTAGTAGAGACGGAGTTTCACCATGTTGACCAGGATGGTCTCGATCTCTCGACCTCGTGATCCACCCGCCTCGGCCTCCCAAAGTGCTGGGATTACAGGCTTGAGCCACCGCGCCCGGCTGCCCCTGTGTTTCGATAGGTTACTACTTACTGCAGATGACCCATAATGCCCATGTTGTGCATGTCTGCTCTGATACACTTCAAACAAAATGTAGCAGACACTGGCATTTCTCAGTGGTTTTGCCTAACCAAACTTTTTCCTAAGGAGATTTATATTCTGGCCTACGCTGCAGTCCTTGATGGCTGACAGCCATAGAATTCCAAACCAAGTAGTGTCGATTAGCCCTCTTAACTCTGTGCACACCCTATTTCAGCCTCTTACATTTGTTCTTCTAGGGAATGTATGCGTCTCTATGTATATTTTCTCTCAAAACAAGAACATCAACACTGCTGTTTCTGATACTTAGACATCCCACGCAAAGCCACATTGAATTTTTGCCAAATGAAAAACGCTTCCAACAATCAAGTTTCTAAGAAGGTGTCAAGTGGGGAATAATAATGTGTAATAATCAAGACATTAATATATTAAAAGGAAGCAGAAGCATTAACCACCTTTTTCTCAAAGAGGAGAAGTCTGTGGTGAGCACAAGGACAGACTATGAATCTTCCTTAAGAAGTAGTCATCTCAGAAAAGAGAAGTGCCACTCAAGTTCTTTTAACCTAAGACTTTAGCGACATTAGGTCCAACATTTTTATATGTTCAGCTTTTTATGTATAAAAATAACTTTCTGGATTTTGTGGGGAGGAGTAGGAGAGGAAGGAAGTTAATACCTATGTAATACATAGACACTTCCAAAATAAAATGCCATTGATGGTTGAAAAAAAAAATCCATTTCATAATGAATTAACTTTGTTAATCAAGTAGATAATTTTGTAACGCATTCGTAATAGGAGAAACACTATTTCACCATTCTAAATTACATATATATTTTTTAGATGAAGGCTTGCTCTGTCACCCGGGCTGAAGTGCAGTGGCATGACCTCAATTTACTACAACCTTCACCTCCCAGATTCAAGTGATTCTCCTGCCTCAGCCTCACAAGTAGCTGAGATTACAGGTGCCTGCCACCATGCCCGGCTAATTTTTGTACTTTTAGTAGAGACGGGGTTTCAGTCATGTTGGCCAGGCTGCTTTCAAACTCGTGACCTCAAGTAAGCTACCTGCCTTGGCCTTCCAAAGTGCTGGAATTACAGGTGCGAGCCACTGCACCCAGCCTAAATTACCTATTCTAAAATAATAGTAACTAGATCTGTGATTCTCAACCTTTGGTGTGCCCAGCAATCATCTGGAATGTAGATAGAATGATCTGGATTTCATTCATCTTCAGGGATTCTGGTTTAGTGGAACTGAAAAGGGACCAAGAATTTGCATTTTAACACAGTCTTTGGGTGATCTTGGTGCAAATGGCCCCTGGACCTCACTGATTAACCCAGCCACCAATCATGAGAGCCTGTGCTTGTCACTTTGCCTCAGTTCGCTGTTTATGCAAACTCCTGGAGAGTCTCCCAGAGTTCAACTCACAATATTGGGCAGGTCCGATCTTTCTGGACATTCCTCTGCTGGGTGTTTCCTGGGTGTCTGTCTTGCCTAATGCTTTCAAGACTTTCAGTTAGAACAGTTCATTAACTAATGTGTTTAAATTCCGTGAATTGAGTAATCCAAATACTGAGACAGGAAATTATCCTCTTTATCTTCTCCTAATCCCAATGAACACTGAATCTCCATTTTTTTCTTCACTTGATTATTTGATTCAGTGAGAAGTTTTTGACCTGGAACTCAATGTGCATGCAACTGCAGGGAGCTCAACTACCTGGTAGACATCTGGGGGAAACTTAGTGATTCTCACTGTAATACGGTAAAATACTTGCTGGTAATTGCTGCTTTTAAGAAGTAAAAAACTTTTGTTTTAGCTTTTCAAGATTTTAAAATTTTTTTTTTATTTTTGAGACGGAGTTTCGCTCTTGTTACCCAGGCTGGAGTGCAATGGCTTGATCTCGGCTCACCGCAACCTCTGCCTCCTGGGTTCAGGCAATTCTCCTGCCTCAGCCTCCTGAGTAGCTGGGATTACAGGCACGCGCCACCATGCCCAGCTAATTTTTTTTTTTTTTGTATTTTTAGTAGAGACGGGGTTTCACCATGTTGACCAGGATGGTCTCGATCTCCTGACCTCGTGATCCACCCGCCTCGGCCTCCCAAAGTGCTGGATTACAGGCTTGAGCCACTGCGCCCGGCCTGCTTTTCAAGATATTTTTAAAAGGCTTTTTAAAATTAATAAAAATCCTGTAAACATTAATCAATCCAGTTAGTTTTTAATACTTATATGTTCTTAAGACTAATGTTAGAGACAATAATAAAGTACTCTTGGAATATAGAGCTTGTCTAATATATTTCTCATCAATGTACAAAGCATGATGTTTTGTATATAGCAGGTTCTCAAAACATATCTATATCCCCAACCTAGACCTCCCCAGTATTTTATATCCAATTGCTTACTCAGCATTCTTCCTAGGATTTATAATAGGCATTATGAAATTAACTTGTCCAAAACCAGACTCCTGATATTTTCTCCTAAACTACCACCACCACCTCTTCCTCTCCTCCTCCTCCTCCTTCTCTCTTCCTTGCCTGTCTGCCTTTTTTCCTTCTCTCCCTCTCTCCACTCCCTCCCTCTCTCCGTCTCTCCCTTCCTCCTTCCCTTCCTTCCTTCTTCCCTTCCTTCCTTCCTTCCTTTCTTCTTTTTCTTCCTCATTCCTCCTTTTTCTTCCTTCTTCTTTCTTCAATTAGAGATGGGGTCTTGCTATGTTGCTTAGGCTAGACTTGAACTCCTGAGCTCAAGGGATCATCCCAAGCAGCTGGACTGTAGGCAGGCATCCCTGTGCCTGGCTTATTTCTTTCTCTCATTAAGGTGAGCCTTTCTCATCTCAGGAGATACTAACTCCATCTTTCCAGTTGCTAAGGACAGTAACTGTGAAATCATCTTTTACATTTATCTCTTACATCAGTTGATAAAAAAGTAATTTCAGGGCCAGGCGCAATGGCTTATGCCTATAATTTCAGCACTTTGGGAGCCTGAGGTGAGTGTATTGCTTGAGCTCAGCAGTTTGAGACCAGCCTGGACAATATAAAAAGACCTCGTCTCTACAAAAATACAAAAATTAGCTGGACATAGTGGTACATGCCTGTGGTCCCAGCTACTCAGGAGACTGAGGTAGGGGTATTGCTTGAGCCCAGAAGACTGAGGCTGCAGTGAGTCGTGCCTGCACCACCGCACTCCAGCCTGAGTGACAGAATGAGACCCTGTCTCAAACAAAAAAAAAAAAGTAAGTTCAGCAGTGCCTTCAAAATATGTCAAAAATCCAGCCACTTCACACCATCTCCATGGCCACCATTTACTTTGAGTCACCATCCCTTCTCACTTGAATGACTGCCGTAGCCCCTTAACCAATTGCCCGGATTCTGCCCTTGCCCCACTTCAGTTTCTTTTCAGCACTGTAACATCAGAGTTATCCTTTTAGCCCACAGCCACCTCTCTGACTTCATCTCCTAGACTCTCCTCCTCACTTATCATGAAGGGCCACAGTGGCCTCCTTGCTGATACCTAAAACACTCCAATTGCGCTCCTGGCTGAGAACCTTTGCGTTTGCTTTTCCCTCCACCTGAAATGCATTTCTCCCAGATATCCTCAAGACTTTCTTCCTCACCTCCTTTAGGTCTTTACTCAAATGTTACCCACTTAGTGAAGCTTTTCCAGACCAGCATATTTAAAGTTGTAAACAGTAGCCACTACTCCTCATATGATCACTCCTGATCCTTATTCCTTGGCTTATTTTCCATTACAGTTCTCATTGTCATCTGATGCATTGTATTTTTACTTATTATATGATTTAAAAGAACTTGAGCTTTTCAAAATAAGAGATTTTGTCTGAGCACAGTGGCTCACACCTGTAATTATAGCACTTTGGGAAGCTGAGGTGGGAGGATTGCTTGAGGCCGTGAGTTCAAAGTTGCAATGAGCTATGTATGATACCACTGTACTTCAGACTGGGTGACAGTGCAAGGCCCTGTCTCTTAAAAAAAATGAAGAAGAAGAAGGAGGAGGAATGGGGGGATTTTTGTCTGTTTTGCATATTTCTGTATATAAGTGCCTAGAATATAGTACTAAGAACACTCAGAATGGTGTCTGGAATATAGTAGGTGCTCAAAAAGTAGTAGTTGCAGAATAAATAAATAAAGAACTGTACTGGGAAGCAGATAAATAGGCAGAAAATTATAGCACGATGAGATATGTGCTATGACTACATAGAATATAATGAGGATGTACAGTAGGAGCACCAAATGCCTTTGGGGTGGGGAAGAGTCGGGGAAGATTTCTTGAGGAGTGGACATCTGAGTTGATTCTTGAAGAGTTAATAAGCAATAGCCAGATGAATGATTGCTTGAAAGAATATTGATGAGACAGGATGGGATGGAATCCAGAGTAACCCTAAGGGTCCAGAGCAGGCGTCCCCAAACTATGGCCCATGGGCCGCATGCGGCCCCCTGAGGCCATTTATCTGGCCCCCCGCCGCACTGCAGGAAGGGGCATCTTTTTCATTGGTGGTCAGTGAGAGGAGCACAGTATGTGGCGGCCCTCCAACGGTCTGAGGGACAGCGAACTGGCCCCCTGTGTAAAAAGTTTGGGGACGCCTGGTCCAGAGGATTGGAGGGAAGGAGTTGGACATGAGTGCGAATGGACACTGTAGTTGTTGGAATAGGGGGACGGGAGGGAAGGAACAGAATTTGAGGATGTTCCTGGCTTCTCTCTTAATGTTTCCTATGAATTAGAGATGAAATTAGCATTGCAATACAATGAATCATTGGTTGATCACTTTGGATGTGCTGTTTCAAAACCTTAGCTAATTATTTTCATAGAGCTAACATATATTTAAGATCCAAATCTTTGTTTGAAATAACCCTTCAGGAATTAAGAGTGTCATGCATATTGCATAAATCTCTTAATTGCTTTTGCCCAGTCCACAAGTGCAAGAGTTGTCTTTCAATCTAGAATGTACGTAAAACAGTTAAGATAGGATTTTCCATTTTTCAGGTTTCTCCTATAAGGTTATTCGGGTTCCTCCAGAGAAGGTGGGCCTTGGGGAGACAATCCATGGAGCCCAGGTGATATGTTCTATTGCTTCCGCAGAAAAGGGGACACCTTCTTACTACCATAGCTTTGGTGCGTCCAGAGATAAGTCAAATTTCAGTGGGCCCTGCCTTGGTGTTGCTGTAGCAGAAGGACTAGTTTGGCAAATGTTATGTTAATAGTTTATCAGACTATGGCGATAATGAGACCAAGGTTGCATTTTGATGCCAGTTAAGTTTATTCTGTTTGGTCACATACTCCTGATCCTAGCCAGCTGACTGCTTGAAAAGCTGTATTGTATTTGCTTTAGTATAAGCAATTACTAAAAAATTAATTGATAGAATTTAAAATTTTAGGTAACCTTAAAGTCCACAAGTAGTAATCATACATGAAAAGGTTGTCTTGACTATCTTTTTTGGGGAAATTTATATTCTATATAGATTGCTTCAGCTTTTACTCAGCATATTTATTTTCTGTATTTTAAATCATTATAGCCAAACTACCCCTAGATTCTTACCCCCAGTATAAACAGGAAAAGGATTAAAGGATACAGGTACAGATTATAAAGGGCACTTTATTATGCTTTTTTACTTTGTTCCTAAACCAAACAATTTAAAAAGAAAAGGAAAAAAAGATAAAAAGTAAGCTGAGAATATACAACCCTAGCTATTCTAAGCAGTTCCCTTTTCTATGTAGGAACAGGAAATATGTGTAGTAAAGCTGAGAGACAGTAAACATGTATTTCTGGCTGGCATTTGTTTAGGGCAGCAGTAACATGTCCAGGCATTCAGACAAGTTCCTGTAACTGTCACATTTCAGATAACTCTAGTTTGCCAAATAACATTTTTATTGTTTGCTGGAACTTTTTAGGAATGACAAGGAACTATATAATCTTCATTGAACAGCCTCTAAAGATGAATCTGTGGAAAATTGCCACTTCTAAAATCCGGGGAAAGGCCTTTTCAGATGGGCTAAGCTGGGAACCCCAGTGTAATACACAGTTTCACGTGGTGGATAAACACACTGGACAGGTGGAGTATTTTGAGTATACTTATCATGAAAATTGTTGGCCACAAAGGCACATTTCCATATAATTGATTTTTAAAAATTTTCCCTGGGCATTCTTTGCATAAGACACTTTTAATCAAGGATATTACCTACTATAGGTTGAACTAGCTATTTATTAATTAGTACGGTGGATTTTGCATATTAGAAAATTATAGAAAATGATTTTATCTTTTTAATGTTCTGATTCAATTAAAATGACATCCAGGAAACTCTCTTAGCATGGATTTTTTCCATATCATAATAGTTGCTAAAGAGGGTGTTGTTCATGTAGAAATGTTCTGTAACATTTGTAGTAATACTTTAACTAGTTGATTCTCTGGCTTTTTAATACGTGAATATGACAGTCCTATTAAAGTCCAAGCATGTTTGTTGAGTATCTTTTTATGCTCCTGATTCATAGCACTATTATATTTGCCTATGTTTTACCTTTCTAAAGAGACAGTATCTTAAATTTACCTAGATCTCATTACAAAAAAAAATTGAGTAATGACTGCACTTTTCAAAAAATTAGTCACTTAATTTATCATCAGCATATGGAGTAGCAATATTTTCTATTTAAGCATGCAGTTAGAATCCAGGATTTACGTATCCTTCAAAACATTGGGCTATATATTTCATGAGGGTTTTTAAGTTTGTTTTAACAATTGATTGGTCTATTGAATAGCCCCAGTTCATTGATTAATGTGAGATGAGATGCTTGAGCAAGCAACGTTTAAATCAAAGCATATTTGCTTCTACATTCTGTATTCTACTTTTATATCTACTAGACCTGCCACTTCAGAGGGGAAAATTCTAATTTTCTTATTTTGAACTTTTTGGGCCTGTTTCCCAAAGGAAAGGGAAAAAGAAAGAAATCGATTTTTTTTCTCATTGTTTGTGTTTTCCCCTTCCTGCAGCTTCTTCCAGGGAGATACTACAGCAAACCTTTTGTTACATTTCATCAAATCAATGCCTTTGAGGACCAGGGCTGTGTTGTAATTGATTTGTGCTGTCAAGATAATGGAAGAACCCTAGATATTTACCAGTTACAGAATCTCAGGAAGACTGGGGAAGGGCTTGATCAGGTAAACATTAGAATTTGTCAGGAGTCATCAGAATAATTTGGACTCCAAGATCTGTCTTTGGCTTCAGAATTACATGTTTCTCTTTCTGTCTCTCTCTCTCTCTCTCTCTTTTTTTTGAGATAGGGCTTGTTCTGTCACCCAGGCTAGAGTGCAATGGTGCAATCTTGGTTCACTGCAACCTCCACCTCCCAGGTTCAAGCGATTCTCATGCCTCAGCCATCCAGGTAGCTGGGATTATAGGCGCAAGCTACCACAGCCTGCTAATTATTTTGTATTTTTAGTAGAGACGAGGTTTCACCATGTTGGCTAGGCTTGTCTTAAACTCCTGACCTCAAGTGATTGCCCACCTCAGCCTCCCAAAGTCTTGGGATTACAGGCATGAGCCATTGTGCCCAACATAGGAATTACATGTTTCTCTTGTCTTCTTGTGGCAAATAATGAGAGAGAGAGAGGGAAAGAGAGAGAGAGAGAGAGAGAGAGAGAGAGAGAGAGAGAGAGAGAGAGAGAGAAAGTTTTAAAGCACTGAAGACATAGCTTCATCATTTATTTATTTAATGTTAAAAATAATTTGAAACAGCTTATTTAATACCTAATAAATAAGCATGGCAAAGAGAGCCAAGATATGTGTTTAAAAGCATATGTGGCCTGGTGGCTCATGCCTGTAATCCCAGCACTTTGGGAGGCTGATGTGGTCAGATCACTCGAGGTCAGGAGTTCGAGACCAGTCTGGCCATCCAAAATGGTGAAACCTTGTCTTTACTAAAAATGAAAAAATTAGCCAGGTATGGTGGCGGGCATGTGTAATCCCAGCTACTTGGGAGGCTCAAGCAGGAGAATTGCTTGAATGCAGGAGGTGGAGTTTGCAGTGAGCCGAGATTGCACCACTGTATGATGGCACCACTGTACTATAAGCGAGACTCTGTCAAAAAAAAAAAAAAAAAAAAAAAAAAAAAGTGATAGTTCTTTATTACACTTAAGCACCAAACAAAGTTTACTAGAAGGGATAGCAAAGTGGACTATCAATTAGTTCACCTAGTTGAGGGGATTCACTTTTTCCTGATACTGAATCCAAAGTAAATTTCCTTGAATTATATAATATAAATTGTTTCTAGCTGTAGCTTTATGTTTTAGCTATAGTTTTCTTTTAACATATTTGTAAAATAGTGCTTATTAAGTTTACTTATGCCTTACTAAGCTTACTTGTAGCTTTATGGTAGGTCTTGACATCTGTAGTTGTATTTTCTGTTTTAAGATTGCCTGGGTTTTTCATGGCCTTTTGCATTTCTATAAGTGTTGGAATCCATTTGTCAGTTTTTGTTCTTGTTCCTGGTTTAAAAATAAAATTCACTGTATATATTTGAGGTTTACAACATGTGTTATGTTATACATGTAAATAGTAAAATGGTTACTATAGTGAGGCAGATTAATATATCTAACATCTCATATAGTTAGTTTTTTTTGTGTGACAAGAGCAGTTAAAATCTACTTAACAAAAATCTCTAATGAAATACAATCTTATTAACTTTATTCCTCGTTTGTACATTAGACCTCTAGACTTGTTCATACCACATATCTACTGTTTGGTATCCTTTGACCTACATCTTCTCTTTGCCTTCCCTTCCCCTCTGGTGGTAACCACTGCTTCATTCTCTTTCTCTGCGTATTTGAGATTTTCTTTAAAAAAATTCCCCATAAAAATGAGGTCATGCAATATTTTTATTTATTATTTATTTATTTTTGAGATGAGTCTCACTCTGCCACCCAGGCAGAGTGGAGTACAGTGGAGTACAGTGGCACAATCTTGGCTCACTGCAACCTCCACTACTGGGTTGAAGCAATTCTCCTACCACAGCCTCCTGAGTAGCTGGGACTGCAGGCGTGTGCCACCATGCCCAGCGAATTTTTGTATTTTTAGTAGAGACCGAGTTTTACCATGTTGGCCAGGCTAGTCTCAAACTCTTGACCTCAGGTGATCTGCCCATCTTGGTCTCCCAAAGTGCTGGGATTACAGGTGTGAGCCCTGGCGCCTGGCCTCTTGCAGTATTTTTCTTTCTGTGTCTGGCTGTTTCACTTCTCATAATGTCTTCCAGGTCCATCCAAGTTGTGGCAGACATCAGGATCTCCTTTTCTAAAATTGAATGATACTCCATTGTGTGTATATACCACATTTTCTTTATCAATTTATCCGTCACTGGGTATTTAGGTTGTTTCTGTATCTTGGCTATTATGAATAATACTGCAATGAACATGAGAGTGCAGCTATTTTCATGATGTGGTGATTTCATCTCATCTGAGTGTATACCTAGGAGAGGGATTGTGGGCTCAGATGTTGTACAGTTGACTCTGAACAACTTGGATTTGAATGGTATGGGTCCTTATATGCAAATTTTCTTCTACCTCTCCACTCCTGAGATAGCAAGACCAACCCCTCTTCTTCCTCCCTCTCAGACTACTCAATGTGAAGACAATGAGACTGAAGACCTTTATGATGATCTACTATGACTTAATGAATAGTAAATATATTTTCCTTATGATTTTTAATAGGATTTTATTTTATTTTATTTGAGACAGAGTTTTGCTCCTGTCACCCAGGCTGGAGTGTAATGCCGTGATCTCAGCTCACTGCAACCTCTGCTTCCTGGGTTCAAGTGATTCTCCTGCCTCAGCCTCCCAAGTAGCTGGGATTACAGGCACCTGCCACTATGCTCAGCTAATTTTTGTATTTTTAGTAGAGATGGGGTTTTGCCATGTTGGCCAGGCTGGTCTCGAACTCCTAACCTCAGGTGTTCCACCTGCCTTGGCCTCTCAGAGTGCTAGGATTACAGGCTTAAGCAACCATGCTTGGCATTTAATAACATTTTCTTATTTTCTTTTCTCTTGTTTGCTTTATTGTAAGAATACAGTATGTAATACATATAACATACAAAATATGTGTTAATTAACTGTTTATGTGATTGGTAAGGCTTCCAGTCAACAATAGGCTATTAGTAGTTAAATTTTTGAGTAGTCAAAAGTTAGATATTATCATATGAATGACAATTTTCATCTCTTTCTTCTTCCCAAACAGGTCTATAATTCAGCAGTCAGATCTTTCCCTCGAAGGTTTGTTTTGCCTTTAAATGTCAGTTTGAATGCCCCTGAGGGAGACAACCTGAGTCCATTGTCCTATACTTCAGCCAGTGCTGTGAAACAGGCTGATGGAAAGGTATTCTATGAACAGACATTAGATTAAGACTTTGAACTTCAGTGGTGTTACTTTATTTTTTATTTTTTTGAGAAGGAGTTTCGCTCTTGTTACCCAGGCTGGAGTGCAATGGCGCGATCTCGGCTCACAGGCAATTCTCCTGCCTCAGCCTCCTGAGTATCTGGGATTACAGGCACGTGCCACCATGCCCAGCTAATGTTTTGTATTTTTAGTAGAGACGAGGTTTCACCATATTGACCAGGATGTTCTCGATCTCTTGACCTTGTGATCCACCTGCCTCGGCCTCCCAAAGTGCTGGGATTACAGGCATGAGCCACCGCGCCCAGCGGTGTTACTTTATTCATTAGCAGTTTTCCAAAATGTTTGGTACCCAATAACTTTTATAACATGCATCTGAGCAGGGTAAGGTCATGTAATACTGCTTGCACAAGAATGGCAGAAACAATGGTAATGAACACAGTATTCATCCTTCCTGTGCTTTGAAACAGATATGTAACTGTCTAATGGTTGTGGAATGTCTATTCATTTGAACTTGGCATTAGCAATTCCTACCTTTTATTTTTTATTTTATTTTTTGAGATGGAGTCTTGTTCTGTCACCCAGGCTGGAGTGCAGTGGTGCCATCTCAGCTCACTGCAGCCTCTGCCTCCCATTTTCAAGCAATTCTCCTGCCTCAGCCTCCTGAGTAGCTGGGATTACAGGCACCTGCCACCATGCCCGGCTAATGATTTTGTATTTTTAGTTGAGACGGGGTTTTGCCATGTTGGCCAGGCTGGTCTCGAACTCCTAACCTCAGGTAATCCACCTGCCTTGGCCTCCCAAAGTGCTGGGATTACAGGCATGAGCCACTGCGTCCAGCTGCAATCACTACCTTTTAGATAATATGTGCTTATCACAGGCCTATCATTGTGTGGCTGTCAATGCCTTAGCTTTAGAAGAATGAAAAGCATATGTCCATCTCCTATGCCACTTGATAGCTTATTAATAAAACTTGATAATCATTATGCATCCACATATATGATGGAAAGAGGAACAATATACAAAAATGACATAGAACCTCAGTTCCCAAGCCCTGTCACAAACTTTTATAGGGTATTAGGCTCCTCACTGACCTTAGTAAGAGGAAAATAAAAATTAAGCAACCATCGTCTGTAATCCTAGCACTTTGGGAGGCCGAGGTGGGTGGATTACGAGGTGAGTAGTTCAAGACCAGCCTGGTCAAGATGGTGAAACCCTGTCTCTACTAAAAATACAAAAATTAGCTGGGTGTGGTTGCAGGCACCTGTAATTCCAGCTACTCAGAGGGCTGAGGCAGAGAACTGCTTGAACCCGGGAGGCGGAGGTTGCAGTGAACTGAGATCGTGCCACTGCATTCCAGCCTGGGCGACAGAGCAAGAGTCCGTCTCAAAAAAAAAGAAAAAATAAGCAACTACCACAAAACCTTTTGAAATCTCTCTTAGATCTGGTGCTCTCATGAAAATCTACATCAGGAGGACCTAGACAAGGAAGGAGGCATTGAATTTCCTCAGATCAACTATGCCCAATTCAATGGCAAAAAGTATCGTTTCTTCTATGGCTGTGGCTTTCGGCATTTATTGGGGGATTCTCTGATCAAGGTTGATGTGGTGACTAAGACACTGAAGGTGATGAAATCTCTTTCCTTTTTGAACTTTTTGGAGACCTGTTCTTCCCTTTGAATTTGTTTTATTAAAGTAGCTCTTAAGCTACTTTTCTTCAGCACTTAAGCAGCACAGCCATTTTCTTTTATTAAGTTTGAGAACTATGAAATCCTCTAAGTTAAGGGTATGTTCCTTCTAGGAAATCCAAATGGACCCCAAGCACAGCAAAATTAATTCTCTGATCTTGATATTATTTTGGGAGCAACTGTGGTGTTAAGGTTGTTGGGACACCTATGTTTAAAGTTGATGGGAAATTATAGTTACACAAATTGTGTTTGACGGTGATGGAATATCTGGGACTGCAAAATCTCTCTTTCTCCTATATTCAACTCCGTAGGCCTGATTCTTTTTATTTTTGGAATATTCTATTGACACCCTGTGTTAGTCTGTTCTGTGTTGTTATAAAGAAATACCTGAGGCTGGGTAATTGATAAAGAAAAGAGGTTTATTTATTTGGCTTATGGTTCTGTGGGATGTACAAGCATGGTACCAGGATCTGCTCAGCTTCTGATGAGGTCTCAGAAAGAGTACAATCATGGCAGAAGGCAAAGGGGGAGACTCATGTCACATGGTGAGAGAGTGGGAGCAAGACAGAGAGGAGGAGGTGCCAGACTCCTTTAAAACAAACACCTCTCAGATGAACTAATAGAGCGAGAGCTCAGTTATCGCCAAGGGGATGGCGCTTAAGCTGTTCATAAGAGACTGGCCCCCATTACCCAACACTTCCCACCAGGCTCACATTTCAACATGAGCTTTGGATGGGACACACATACAACCTATATCACAGCCAAATTCATGCTTGGAGTGACAAAAGCCATAGAAAGCTCCCTACTTTACTACTGGCCTTTTATTGAATGCTTTTTCTGGGACTTCCAGGTTTGGAGAGAAGATGGCTTTTATCCCTCAGAACCTATTTTTGTTCCAGTACCAGGAACCAATGAAGAAGATGGTGGGGTTATTCTTTCTGTGGTGATCACTCCCAACCAGGTAAATATATTTCGCTATCACTAGTCAGAAAGAAAAGTAGTAGAGTCGTCTGATAAATCAAGGATGTACTGATGCTGTTGAAAATTTACTTTGATTCCTTCTCCCTTCTCTTCCCCTCCTCACTATTTACATTCCCTTTTATCTCAATCCATATTTTATTATTTTAAAGTTCTGTTTGTAAGACCATAGTAACAATTTATATTTACACAGGAATTTGCTATTTATGAACTACTTTTATACATATTTAGTTATCAGGCCGAGGCGGGTAGATCATGAGGTCGAGAGATCGAGACCATCCTGGTCAACATGGTGAAACCCCGTCTCTACTAAAAATACAAAAAAATTAGCTGGGCATGGTGGCACGTGCCTGTAATTCCAGCTACTCAGGAGGCTGAGGCAGGAGAATTGCCTGAACCCAGGAGGCGGAGGTTGCGGTGAGCCGAGATCGTGCCATTGCACTCCAGCCTGGGTAACAAGAGCAAAAAACAAAACAAAACAAAACAAAACAAAAACATATTTAGTTATCAAAACAACTTTGCTGGATACCATTTTATACATGTGGAATTCGTAAAGTGAAGAAGTTGAAGTAGACTTGCATCAGATCTCATAGTGGTAAAGCCAGTATTTAAATCCAAGTCTTTTGACTTCCAGTCTAATGTTTATACCATCATGTGTACTGTCAGTTTCAGTGAATTCACCTCCAAATCCAATGCCATTAGTCCTGGTCCAGTGTCTCAATAACACTATTCACCATCTGACTTCTTGTCTAGGGCAATCTTATGGCAAACAGGTTCACTTTGAGTATCAGCTTTGATTAATTATTAGTGGCTGCCTGGGGTGCAGGGTTCTGATCCTTCTTAAGGGTTCAGTGAGAAAAAGGCTGTGATCAATTAGTGATGTCTGCCATGGACTTTAGGAGGACTTTGTCCTCATGCCGTGCACTTGTCACTCCTGGAATTAGATCTGGCAGAGCGCAGTCTGCCTTGCAATACTGCCCTTTGAACAGCTCCAAAGTAACACAAAATGGAGGCATTTCTAACTTGGAAGAAAGAGTTCCTGTCTTTTAGAAGATTGGAAAGGAGGAAGCAAAAGGATTAAACTCAAAGAAATCCTATGAAGGTGATTGATAGAAACAGCTTAATTTATTTGCTCTAGGTATGAACTTCTTTAGACATGATTTCCGTTTCAGTCCAGTTCAGCAGTTGAGGCAACATTTCGTGAGTGTATAGGTGAAGCACTGTGCTAGGTACTGGGGAGAGATATGAAGATGTGTAAGACATGGTCTCTCTCTCTCTCTCTCTGTCTCTCTCTGTCTCTCTCTCTCTCTCTCTCTCTCTCTTTAAGACAGGGTCTTGCTCTGTCACCCAGGCTGGAGTGCAGTGGCACAATCTCAGCCCACTGCAACCTCTGCCTCCCAGGCTCAAGCGATCCACCTGCCTCAGCCTCTGAGCAGCTGGGACTACAGGTGTGCACCACCATGCCTGGCTAATTTTTGTATTTTCTATAGCGATGGGGTTTTGCCATGTTGCTGAGGCGGGTCTTCAACCGTGAGCTCAAGCAATCTACCCACTTCAGCCTCCCAAAGTGCTGGGATTACAGGTGTGAGCCACCGTGCCTGACCAACATGGTTTCTCCACTAGGAATTTTACAGCCTTGTGGAGGAGACAGGCAAATTTTTGATGAAAAAAAGAGAATTTTCAATATTGTCTTTCCTTTTCTAGAATGAAAGCAATTTTCTCCTAGTTTTGGATGCCAAGAACTTTGAAGAGCTGGGCCGAGCAGAGGTACCTGTGCAGATGCCTTATGGGTTCCATGGTACTTTCATACCCATCTGATTGGACAACCACAAGACCTGGAAACTAGGTTTAAAATAAGTGTGAACTTGGACATAAAGACTGGAGCAATAAACACTGAGACTCCAAAAGGGGGGCAAGGAGAAAGACGGGCGGGGGTTAAAAAGCTACCTTCTGGGTACTATGTTCCCTATATGGGTGATGGGGTCACTAGAAGCCCAAACCTCAACATCACACAATATACCCATGTAACAAGCCTGTACATGTACCCAAGAACCTAAAATAAAAATAAAAAGAACAAAGGGTGCACTTTTATTTATATAAAAGACGGAGCAAAAAGGGCACCTTACCTCTCAAACCAATGTCCCAAATAGACATTTTGTTTAAAAATTTCTGTTAAAACTAGAATTCACTGTTTCCTTGCCACTGCCAAGTCATGCCATGGCAGAGGCTCAAGTGCATACGACCTCCTGTTTTACCCTTAACTCACCATCATGGCCAATGGAGGCTGGAGATGTCATGGATGTTAACACTGCTTTACAAGAGATGCGGAAGACTGCCCTCACCCATGATGGCCTAGCACGTGCAATTTGTGAAGCTGCCAAAGCCTTAGATAAGCACCAAGCCCACCTTTGTTTGCTTGCACCCAACTGCAATGAGCCTATGTATGTCAAGTTGGTGGAGGCTCATGGTGCTGAACACCAACTCACCTTAATTAAGGCTAATGACAACAAGAAACCAGGGGAATGGGTAGGCCTCTGTAAAACTGACAGAGGGAAAACCCCAAAAAGTGGTTAGCTGCAGTTGTGTAGTATTTAAGGACTATGGCAAAGAAGCATAGGCCAAGAGTACTTCAAGTGCAAGAAATGAACAAATAAAACTTTGGCACTCATGTTTCTTAAGAAAAAACACCCCAAAGCAGAATGCGTAAGATAATTATGATTTTATGTATTTTTTAGGGCCCTTTCTTGAAATAAGAAAGTATTGATATAACCTTTTGAAGAGAGGTTTAAATTTCATTTATTGGATATATCTACCTCTAGGTAATGATAGGAATATAGCAAAGAAAAATTCATGTATTTTGGTCATTAAGAATTAAAGAAAGAGGAAAGAAACATGAAAGGTGGCTTGCCAGTGAGGACAGGTTTATTTTAGAGAAAACAAACCTGAGAGAAACCTTTGTGCAGTTAGGTTAGAGGCACACTTTTTTACAGACTAAGAGTTTTTAAGGATTTAGGGTGGGAGAGTGTATCAGAGGCTCGGACTGCTTCTGTGGTTCTTTGCTGTCCTTATTTGGGAGGGAGAGGTGTGCGTTTGTTCCCATACGTTTTTTTTTGCAGCCATAGGCACACCCCACAAGTCTGCTTTTAGCTTCTCTATCATAGTGCAACCGAAGGGAAAGGAATGTGCTTATTAAGGCCCACTGTTTTACTTGGGCTTATGGTATGAGGGTGAAATTTGGCCGTTACCTAAGAGACTCCCCCTACTTCCCTCTGATCCTGAGCTGTTTTATTTGTGTTTTACTGTCTGCTTTTTCTGTTTGCTTGTAGTTAGATGAGAAGTGATTTCTTTGAAATGCATGAAGCTTAAAGTGGTGGTTTGTCCAAAATAATCGTGCTCCTGGTCTGTCAATTTCCGCCATCAGATCGGTGGGTGACAGAGGTCCTAGGAGAAGAAATACAAATGATCGTAGATAGTAGACTTTGAATATAAATCTGAAAAGCACCTTGTTCTTTCCATCGCAGTCTGCCTATTACCATTGGTCGTAAGGTGCTCAGAAGACAGGAAGCTGACTATATCTTGCTTGGAGGCTTCTTCTAAACTGGTTCTTTCTCTGCTGTCCACAGCAGATGCTACTGCAATTGCACAACCCTCTTATAATACCACCCACTACCTGCCCCTCCCCCACCCTCAGCTCTGCTTTGGGAGATTATTTTGAGGAACATCACTAAAATCAGACATTTCTTCTAATCTGTAGGTGTATAGCTCTACAGGGATTGATGACAAGCCAGACGTTCTTCATTTAACTGGGCAACAGGTGGCACTAGAGACCATATAATCTCCACATTTCTAAACCCTGCCTGTTCTTACCAACAGCGGTAAGCAGGCGAGGTCTGTTACTTAAACCACTCTTACCAACACCCCCAAAATCCCTTGTTCCCTTTTCCTTCAGTTACACTCACTTCCCTCCACTGAACTCCATTCCAGGACCAAACTGTTTATGCTCCTTCTGCATGGTGAATGTGCTAGAGAAGACCCCCACATATAATATGGGGCACCTGTGAACTCATGGTTAGGCTCTCTGCACGGTCCTGGACTAACAGAGTTTCCTGTCTAATTTTTCTTAAGAGTCACTTCAAGCTTCACAGACCCTATCTTCTTTAGTGATGTGTTCCATACATGCAAATGCCACGTGTGAGGCTTTGCACTGTGGCAATAAAGTAAAAGAGCTGAGTTCCATGTCTGGGTTTGTGAGATGCAGAACACAGCAGCATGTTTAGAATGGCAAGAAGATGCCTAAACAGAACTAATACAGCAGATGCAGGAGCAAAGAGCCTCGGGTAACCACGAGAGTGTAAGTCCTCCCCTGTTTCCTCTCACTCAAGTCCCTGAAAAGGCATTCATTGTACTTCCTCAGACAAAACATGGAGATTTGATTGGTCTTATGAGATCTGAAGGGTGAGGGAGACGCTGGATGACCTCTAGGGAGTCCATAGATCTGTGACATCTTTTCTCTTTTTATAAATCTCTATCTTAATACACAGGGAATGAAGTTCAGACACATGAAGGATAGCAGTATAATCATAACATTTTGACCTAAGGATACCTGAATTCTGCCTTGGCTCTGCTCTTTTAAGTTTCTTGAAGGAGAAGACCAAAAAAAAAAAAAAAAAAAAAAAAAAAAAATCAATGGCATGTTATAATCTAGGCACATTTGCCTGCTAATCCAAAGGAGAAAAGTTCTGGTAAAAGTGAGTGAGCATATGACCAAGGCCCAAAGCATAGGCTGGGCCTCTTCCTCTCCCTAAGTCTAACTCTTAACACTAGCCAGTGTCTGAGGATTCAAGGAAAGGGAGCAGGTGGTGCATGACTGAGGGGAAAAGGGAGAGGCAAATGGGCAGGCTGGGTCCTCCACAAGAGGGAAGCAGTAGAAAAAAACATGAACCAGACAGCTAGGCCTCCTTGGTGCAGGGGGAGTAGGAGAGAGCTCTGCCTCATTTTTTGTTTTATTTTTCCTCTGAGCATAGCTCCAGAGAGTAAGCCACACCATGTGTGGTACTTTTAACACCTCGTAGGCCTGCCTGTGAGTAAGAAAGACCCAACCAGTGCCTGGAAATGTTATTCAAGCAGATGAAAATTCCCTTCTTGTGGGGAGCCAGGAGGGAGGTAAGGGGTTGAAGTCTCCTTTATACTTAAATGACATTCAAGAACTTTCAATAATTCGGTCCCCAATTAATGTTTCCAATCTTACCTCTCACTTCTGTTCCCACTGTAACCAAAAACTTGTCAATATGCACTAAACAAGCTGTACTCTTCCACATTTCCTTTGCTTACATTATTGTCTCTTCCTAGAATTCCCTTATCTACTTGGTGAATCTTAAAATCCAGCTCAAAAGTTATCTCTTCTTTGAAGCCTTCTTTTGCTTCCTGAGGGAGAATTAGTTTTTTTGTTTAGTTCGTCATGATTTCTGTGTTTAGCTCCCTCACTAACCTGAACTGTATGAGGATGGCAACCATGTGTTTGTTACTCATACTGTGTCCTTGGCACTTAGCAGAGCACTTGGTATTCAGTAGATGTTAATTAAACACTTTTTTTTTTTGTTACTTAATAAGTGAATGAGGACTGGAAGGTGATGGATATAGGGCCTGCCTTGCCAATGTATGTCCATTGGAGTAGCTTATGGTATCTTTTAACAGAAGTTAGCCTTTTGAGGCAAGGCAGTCAAACACAACCCAGTAAATTTGCAAGAATGAAGTGGGCATTACACTTAAATGGCTATTGATCTCAAAGCACTGAAATCTAAGTTGAGAGGAATGTTACTTGCTTACTGGTTAGCGTGTGAGTCTGCTAGGGCTGTCATAACAAAGTACCACGAGGTCTTAACAAATGAATTGTCTTACAATTCTGGAGGCTAGAAGTCTGAAATTAAGGTTAGTTTGTCCCTTCTGAGGGCTCTGAAGAAAGATCTGTTCCAATCCCCTCTCCTGGGCTTGGAGATGGTGTTGTCTCTGTGTCAACACATCGTCTTCCCTCTGTACATGTCAGTCTTTGAGTCCAAGTTTTCCCTTTCTACAAGGGCATCAGTCGTGTTGGATTATGGCTCATCCTAAAGACCTCATCTCAATACATGTGCAACAATCCTATTTCCAAATAGGTTAAACTTCAACTCTGCAAATGCAGTGAAATGTTTTACTAAAACAAACCAGTATTATTAATAAAAATAATTTTACAGAATATTCTCTTTCATTTTGATTCATTAAATTGGTTTTGGAATGAGGAACTATTTGTGTAACCACTGACCATTAGAGAGTATTTAGCTCTGAGACAGTCAATACCTGGGAGATATTGTTTCTGTTCTGAGTGATCTTGCAATAGTAATTCACTTATCTGGTGCTGTATTTTTTTATCTGTAAAGTGAAAGTATTGAACTAAATAGTCTCTATCTCGAAAATCTCTGAATCTTCTTTGAAGTTTTCTCTTTACAGTCCAACGGGGTAGAAGAGACAAACATCTGAAAGTGTAGAGAGGATGTTTGCTAAATAACATGTTAGTAGTTTAATGCAGAACAAACAGAATATACAGCTGTAAATAGGAGATATTTGAAGGAAATCACCATTTGAGCTTATTTCTATCACTTCCATGATTTTGTCTTTCCTTTTACAGGAAATGTTTCCAAGTCTGTTATTAATCACTGACTTGTCCTGCTTTTCATCATTTGATTTTTCTCATACACAGTGGAGCTGTCTTCCCCAGTACCTGGCACAATGCCAGCCACACAGAAGCTGCCTAATACATATTTAATGAAAGAATGAATGGAAGCAAGAGGTGACATGATTCTGGGAACTGTGTGTAGTTTGGACACCCTTGTGAGTAGATGTGAGGAAACAAGGTCCTTTCACTCTCAACGTGTCTTACACTGGCTGGAAAATTGCTAATATGTGTTCAGGGGTGCCTGTGTTCACACTGTGCCAACCCAGAGTGATAAATGGGTCCATACACACTTGTGGATGATAAAAATGACTTTAGAATTTCCCTTAGTAAGAACCATTACACAACAGTACAAAGGACTGTTGCCACCTGGTCCTATTC